CAAGCCCTGGGTCCCAAAATAAGTATCACAGATAAATTATCTCAAATTATTTGAAATCCTCTCTCATAAATCTTTGTTATAGTGAGTCCAATTTTCAATTCAACAATGAAGACCCATTGAAAAAGGTCTCAGTAGATATTCTCTGCACTGAGAATTCGAATGGAGCGTGGAAAAGTATAATTCATCTAACAAGTGACCAAACCGATGCAGTCGTCCCTGGAAACCGACAGTTTTCGATCTTTAAAACTCCTTGGAATGGGTATTTAGAAGTGAGTGCTAGTGATCCGGGGCCGAATGGCTACAATTATCGTGGCGCTTATAATCAACAATGCACGATCGGCGAATGGAACACATACGCGGTTGAAGTCAGCCAAGTCGATGGATCTCCATCAACACTCAAATATGTAATGACATTTGATGGAACTTCAGCTAAAGAAGGCACCTACGATGCAAGCCTCGCTTATAGTGCTGGGCCTCTCTATGCCTATGTCTCGAAAGACATAACTGAAGCTGATTCAGAAACCTCCGTCCGAAATTTCTACTACCAAACCTTCAGTGACACGGCTTGATTTCTCTCTTTTCACGAGTAAAAATTCCATTGTCTAAGTCTGCACGCGTCTTGTTAAAAATAAATAAAACCGTTTGATAGTTACAATACAGCGAATTTATGTGATGCTATGTAAAGAAACGGCTCTTACTTAAATAAAAAAAAAGATTTCTTTTTGATTTTCTGTTCAAAATTTATGATGAAAGTGACATCTCACCCGCAAGAACTTACGAGGAGGAGTATTGAAGAATGGCTCGAAATTTTTAAAAGTAAATTGAAAAGAGAAACGAGCAGAAATGATCTTGACAGGCTAATTTTATCTGTGGAGAGAATTGATTTTAAAAACGAAGATTCTGCTGATTGGACAGAGGTCACTTTTGAAGATGGAAAGGGGAAAATAACATTTGAAAGTGAAAGAAAAATCGCTCAAGAAACATGGCGTTGGACATCCGTCCAGCAAAAAATTCTCGTCGCGAATCCTTATTTGCAGAATAGAACAATCAAGCGATCAGAATTGAAAGAAGAAAAGGGGAAATGGACTCTCGCCCCTTCATTACAAGATAATCTTATTTCGGCAGGAGGAGAAGCGGTTGTCATTTGGCAGAAATTTGGGAAATTGGAAGTTGCTGTTCGTGTTCACGTATTTGATCCCGCACTTTTTACTGAAAACAAAAAAGAACTCATATTTAAAATTCATCTTTCGAAAGGTACGAATACACGAATCGATTTTCTATAAGAACAGCTGGTTTTAGATTATTGCGTTGCTAAAAATCGTGAAACAGACGACTCAAATGTTATTCCAGTTCATCAAAACGTCATTAAAAATTTCGCCAATATTCAAATATTTTCAAGCGAAGATAAAAACGACGAGGATTGTTTTGGCTGGATAACCATCATGGAAAAATGTGATTCTGATTTGAGGTCTAAACTAAAGGCTGGAAATTTGAATTTAGAAGAAAGAAAGAAAATAATTTTGGAGTTAAATAACGCGCTCAATTACTTAGCTGACGTTGGAATAATTCACTTTGACGAAAAGCCTGAAAATATTCTTCTTAAAAACGGGGAAGCAAAATTGATTGACTTTGGAATTGTTCGAGTACTAACAGACAGAAAGAGTTATCGCCAAATGGGTTACGGATTGTCAGGAACAAAGTACAAAACGGAAGACTATCTCTGTATGCGTTGATTTCTATTCCTTTTGAAAAATTAAACATAGATGCTGGATCTCCAGCGTTTTCTGGATGTCCTCAATTGTGTGGCAACCAGGGAGGAGATGCTTCTAGCAGTCACGTGTTCCTTCTTTGCGAGTGGAAAACCGCTTGGAGTCTTCTTTTCAATCCGATCGAACAGGGTCAACGAGAAAGAATTAAAGAAAAGTTGAAGGTCAGTTTAGTTTCTCAACCATAATTTCGAAATTTTTTTCCAAAGAACTTCAATGCTGACTGGTTAACGAACAGAATTCCCGATGATGAACAAATTCGAGGAGTCACAAAAGTCATTTCCCTCGAAACAGCTACGTTAGACCATTGCCTCGACGATCCTAATTTGACAAAATCGTGCGTAATGGCGAATTTGAAGCAACGAATGAGTCGGTTCCCAAACAAGAATTTTGTAAATGTGACTAAAAATGTTGTTGACCAAACTGACAGCGAGCTTTGCGTGCCTCTTTCTATCAGTATTCTTCTACGATGGGCAATAAAAAATGACTTGAAAATGAGCGATGACATAATGGCTAAATATTTTTCTCTCGAAAGCATCTTCACAACTCTGACAATGTTGATTTATCCACGAAGTATTGCCGGCTTCAATCTTAATCCGAAAAAAGAAGAGCAAGATTTTCAAGAAAACGATGTTGATATGCTTCTCAAACGACTGAAATACGAAACCTTCTTGAATGAAAGTGGATGGACAATAATTAAATCACTTGGATACATGGCAAAAATGGAAGATATTGAAGGATCATTCGACTATAAGCAAGGTATCTTCGGTAAGCCTCAGTAAACTTTATTTCTTCTTCTAGTTCTTCTCCACCAAAACTTCATTTTTACTCGCCCTCTTACTGTTACTTGCGCTTATCTCAACCCAAACGGTAGTATTGACTTCCACCAAATGATCCTAGATAGGATCGAAAACGACGAGTACATCCTACAAAACACTCTGATCTCCCATTCCTCTTCTCAAATTCGAATACCGCTCGATAGGCGGTACTACGCGACTTACGAAATGATGGAAGACTGCTACAGCTGTTTCAATGATTTTGTCTACTACGGACAAAACAACGAGTTTCAAACATTAGCGAACGAACAAATCAACAACATGGAAGAAAAAAGATGGCATCTTCTTCCACAAGCCTACGAAATTACCCTTGCTTCTTAAAATGCCTCTTTATTTGATACCAAACTAAATTTCGTACAATTTCTGCGGAATTTTTTCTCTTTGTTTTAAAACTATCGCTGAACTTAACCATCAAGGGGATAAAAACACGAAATAGAAATAAAATACTGATGAAGATCCATGGAGCTTTGAGTTTGCGACTCTTTTGTCTCAAATTTCAGTCGCGGTCAATATATATTCAAACTTTTCTCAGAGCCACTATCAGAGAAAATCACTATGAAGGTAGTTCGTAAACTTGTCAACGTTGTTTATCGATGTTTAGTTTTTTCTTCTGATAATTGGAGCTTACGCGTCGCACGAATACACAACTAGCTATTACACATCCGGCTATTACACAACATCAGATTATTACACGACAACAACAACAACAACAACATCAACAACAACAGTTAGATTCAAGGGATATGCAATAACATCTCCAAAATTTAAATTTGCAAAGCTTCACTTAGTTCGGCAATTGTCGGTCCCGGCGCTAGGCAGAACAATTTTCTAAATATGGCCTTGATTAAATTATTGCATCCAAAATTTGAACAACAACGTCCCTTCATCTCGATTGCGGAGGAAAAATCACATCAACGCAGACGATAACTTCTCCTTTCTTTCCGTCGAATTATCCCGACTCAGCGCGCTGTGAATGGCAAATCGACCTTGATTCTAGCTTCGAAATCGTTCCAACAGTATTCGAAGTTGAGGTACCTTTGGAGCAAGGTCATGAATATTTCAAAGAGACTATTGGTGACTGCCCTTTTGACAACGTCTGTGTGACTACCGACGGCGTTGAACAATGCTTCTGCGGATCAAACACCAATTCAACCGTTGATATGAACGCTAGAAGGAAAAAGATGCCAGTTAATCTCGAAGATCCCCGTGGAGAAGTCGTGAAGATGCCTCACAGCAGTGAGGGTTTTCCGGGAAGGATGATAATATGAAATCACTCGAATTTTCTTCAAATTTTCGAAAGAATGCCTTTAGTAAATTCATCCGTCATTAGATGTCTTTTCTCGTCAGAAGTGGATCCGCTATTTTGAGATTCGACTCGGATATTGATATCACCTTTTCTGGCTTCAGTTTCGAAATTATCCCCTTCTCTCCACAATCGTTTATGAACGAAATTCAAGAAGAAATCAAGGTAACGCAGTGTTTTTTTCTAATAAAAACAGCGAGTTTAGAGGATAGTCAGCCTTCTGTCTGGACAAAAATTCAAGGAATAGGTTTAATTTATTTCAATTTATATTAGCAGGAAAAGTTCGTGCTTATATCAAACTCATTGAAAGAGAATATTTACCAACAAAATGGAACGAGTGATGAGAAAATTTCAACTGTCAAGCCTCGAAAGTGTTTGCTTTGAAGAAAATGGCTTTACATCTAAGCAACCGATCGATGTTGGCCTTGATTCCGAGGACCTCTGCGACAAGAACATCCAAGTTAATGAGGCAATCAACAGCCTTGCTGCAAACTATGCATGCGATGGACGAGGAAAACTCTTTCGGAGAATAACACGATCTGCCAGAAAAACGAGAAATTATTTCATCAATATAAATTATTTGAAATTTAACATTGATTGTTCTATCACCGAATAAATTGTCCTCGAATAAAATATTTTGTCTTCCATGAGCGGCGCTTCCATCAACCGCGTCTTCGCCCGAGGTGGCGCTCTCACGGATTGAGTCTTCCGCTGAAGAGTCCTCCGCCCGCTTTCCTCGAATGAAGAATCTCCCCATTTCGCAGATGCGAGAAAAGTGTGAAAATCAACGATTTCAAAGTCAGAAATGATTTTTCTTTCTTTTTCAAAAATAAAAAAACGAGATTTTATGATGGAAGAAGAAGCGATGAAAGTTAATTTCAAAAACTGTGAAATAATGCTGTTAACAATATAATTTTAAAGGACTAATTTTAAATTTGTATAAGTAGAAAATTATGATTTTGAAGTATTCCTGTCAAAATTGCGTTAAAATGATGCTAGACTTCGATAAATCTTTGTGTTAAAGCGATTCGGCTAAATATATTCCGTCGGAAGAATCATTTTCTCTCGCATAAGAGATGATTTTAGATCAGGAAAATGTCTCCAAATCGAGACGTTCTTGAGCTGTGGCGACGACTTCGGCAAGAGTCTCTCTTCGTCTCTTCGGAGCGCGAGAGTCTCGGCAAGCTGCACAACGATTTGAAAGCAGACCACTACAAGCTTCTGCAGCAACTGTACAGAACTCGGCGGCTGCAGTCGAACCACTACGTCGCGGAAACCGGCGGAGATTTAGGAGAATGTTTTTCTATCGACAACAGATTGCAAGTCGCGGAATTCTGCGAAATGCCGTTTCAAGAAGCAGAAATGATAGCGCCGTTTTTGAAGAGTTTAAAGGACAATCCCACACTCGTCGCGGCTTGTCTTGTTTACGGCGAGAAAATGCAGCTAGAATCTGCGACGGGCTTTAATTCCTTGTTGGAAACTGTTGTGCTTTCTTTGTACGGGCAATCGTGTGCTACTCAGGAAAAGGGTTCAAATGGAAGGAGAGATTTTATTAATTTAGTTTTTTGTACATTAGAAATGAAAATTTGTCAATCAGAAATCAGAATTATCGTAGTTTTCGACTTCCGTATTGCGAGCCCTGCTTCAGAATCATTCCGCGTTGCTAGAATTCATCCAGTGTCTGATGCTTCACCAAATCGGCGCGACAAACCGACCAAGGGACGTTTTGAAACGCGGCGCCTTCATTACTACTTATCGACTCCTTGTCGAGGCTCTTCCTGAATCGCGTCTATTCCTCACCGCCGCGCTTTACCAACCCATCGTTCAAGTTCTGCTGGACGAAGGGCCCCCGCTCGAGATTAATGCCGACAAAGTTTGTGATTATTTCTCACCTAGAGAGCTTCAGCTGCGCTTTGGTCAGCGAGGAAGCGAACCCTTCAAGCAGAAAGTCGCCGAGTTCTGTAAAAACACACAGGAAATGTTGTCATTTCAAAGCGCAAATGAAAACTGAAATTCTAATTAATCACTTGGCTAGGCAACTCTTGCAGAAATCCGGGTTAGAATTCTTCTTTTTTATTAATTTGGAATAAAATAACCTCAATTTTTGCCAACATAAATTCCAGCAACGCCTAGACGACCACGTCAAACGCTTCAGCGCTGCGATCGAGCAGTCCCTTGCTTGTTTCCCAAGCGCGATCGCGTACGTTATCGCTCGCTCTTACAATATCGTTTCTGACGGCGGAATGTGTCCTCCCGACGAGGCGCGAACTCTGGCCGCCGATTTGCTTCTTCAGGACTTCATATGCCTCGCAATCGTCAATCCAGAGCGATACGGAGTCACTGGAGATTTGCCGATTACCGAGACAGCGCGAATCAATTTAATCCAAATCGCTCAAAAATTGCAGAAAGCGGTCATCTCGGGTGGTGTCCGTCACTCGGGCGGATTCCTGACAAGAATGGTGGAAGAAATCCTCACACTTGATTCTGGCGAGCCTAGTACTCAAGCGAATATTACCTTCGAAGATAGAGCTGTCTTGTGCACAAGAAAAGAGCTGGAAAGACTGATTATGTTCATGCGACAAGTGGAGATTTCAGAAGTTCAAGGAGTGGATCGAGTTTCTTTGGGAGGAATCAATCAATTGGTCAAGAATTTTAAAATGACTTCTCCAGCGACCCAGGAAAGGGTTTTCACGAATGATTTTGCTACAAGTAGCAATAGAAGATTAAAAATTAGCAAACATGGCTTGTTTTAGCACAAGTTGTTTTCAGTTCAGTTGTTTTCTTTCAGATACCTTTTTACTCTCTTTAAAATTTCCAAGCTATTGAAGATTTTGAGTAATTTTCCTTTCCAAAACCTTTAAAAGTCACCTCTTGGTTCTCCAATGGTGAGTAAATCTCCACCGCCGAAGTTCGCCGAAAAAGCGATGAGCTTCATCGACAAAATGGACAACAAAGTCAAGCAGCTGCAGCAAGAAGGAATCAAGGGACTTGACAAACTAAGAATCGACGATGAGCCGGAAAAGAAACAAGAAACTCGTGAAATTGTGTTCATTATCAACCTTCCCGGAACAGACGAAGAATTCAAAATCTTGTCGGAACAGGACATCGTCACTCAGAGCGAATTGCTAGACGACGATCGCGCTTCGCTTGATGATGATGGGGTAAGCCGCGGTAGTAAGGTTAGTTTTAGCCCAGCACAGAAGCAAAATAATCAACAAATAATCACATTTATTTCTATTCGTTTTAATCGATAAAAAACCTGACTGATTCAGAGCAATTATTCCGTTGAAGATGATCGAACAAGTTCAAGCTCTGTTTCGGATCATTTATCCTCGCTTCATGGCTCTGCTGGCGCTCCAGTTGAAGTTGATAGACTTCAGGACGAAACAGACTCGATCGCTGAATCCAACCCTCATTCGAATAGGGATGAAACTCTACAGGTAATTTGAATTATTTTCTCTTTGCAAACAATCTCAATTTTCTACCCGGTTTTTATTCTAGGCTCTCGACGAAAAAATGCCAACAAATCGCGAAAGTATCGAAGATCGAATGCGCAAATTCGAGCTTGGAGTCCGTTTTGACATTGGCAACGACCGAGGCGACACTCGATCGGATTGTTGGTCCACTGATGTTGCTGCTAGTGAGCACTCGGAGCCCTTGACGGAAGCAGATTATGCTTCGCGGCTGGAGGAAATCGCGGAAGATCCATCCGAAGAACTGAGAGTTCCACCAGAAGATTCGCGATCGGATATTTGGAGCGTTGAGTGTCTTGTGCCTAGTTCAGGGTTACTTATTGATATGTGAGCAGTTTTTTTTCTAAACTAAAGATCTTTCATCATTTTGAATTTATCATCCCTTCTTTTTTGTAACGCTTTGGACAGTGATAACGAGGACGAGGAAGGTCCACATTCTCCGCCGGCCGAGGATGTGGTGCGATCACGCGCCTCCACTCCCGGATTGAGCTACACGGCCGAATCCATCTCTAGCGCTTGCTCCGACTCGGGTCAGAAGCCAGAAGGGGCGGGAGATTACGCCTCCTCCAATGATCTAAACGACAATCGTAGTGACGATGGAAGGGGCCAAAACAGATCGCCAAGGCCGTCTGTTCTTCAAAACACAGAAGGTATTTATCAATTATAAATTAAAAAAAGATAATTGCTGTTTGACGAATTTCAATAAGGATTTCTGAGTGAAATCCTTACCCCCCTTTTTTATTGGCTCATTGGAAAGAGCGTAAAAAGTTATCTTAGATTCACCCAAAAAAGATGAAATTTCGCTCGAAATGACGTCATGGCACGTGACCAAAGTTCCAAAAGTACCAAAACTTTGGACGCTCCGCATTTTCGATCAACTTTAGCTATCAGGGCGTGTGATAGTGGAAAATGATAGTCGCGACGAGAGCTAGGTGTGCATCTAGGTTTCATCCCTTCAAAAAAAAAAATTCAACCCTTTATCACTAGTACCTGGTTTTCATAAAAGGGATGAGATTTTCCTCGAGGGATGAAACCTAAATGCACACCAAGATCTCGATCAGACGATCATTTTCATGTATTGCATGTCAGGTTAGCTTAAGCGACATTAAAATGGTAAGCGTCCAAAGTTTGGTACTTTCGTAACTTCCGTCACGTGCTATGGCGTCATAAGTTCGAAAATTCGCCAATCTTTCCGACTCACTTAGGGTAATTTTTTACGCTCTTTCAAATGAGCTAATAAAAAAGGGGGGTAAGGATTTCACTCAGAAATCCTTATTGAAATTCGTCTTTTTAGCTTGGCGGGCTCAACAAGCCGCCCTTTCACAAACAACTGGAGAACGCATTTCTCCAACAGAAAATCAATCGGACGACTCTTCAAAACCAGCGAAAATCGGAAATCGGCGCTCCTTCGGCATCAAAAACTTCCGAAAAGGCAATAATGTGATGAAACCGAAGCCGTCGATTCCGAACAAGTTGCTTCCCTCGGCGCTCAGGAAAAATTCGAATTCAGCGCCGCTCACGCCTCCCGCGCTGGCAACGACGAGCACTTCTGCTCCTGGCGATCCGGGCAATTTTTCGGCTTTTGACGTTATGGCCAAGTATCAACAAATGAACAAGAAACAAGACGAACCAGCGACTGGAAATTTAATTGATATTGAAGCACCCGTTACGCCAACGCCACCACTGGAAAGGAGGGATGAAAAGACGAAGAAAGAGAGTATAGGTACGTGTATTGCCAATTCTGGTTCTATTACCTCTTTTTTGTAGACGAGAAACAGGCCCGACTGGAAGATGTCCGCCGAAAGCTCCGATATGTGCTCTCCGCTGCTGACCCAGTGGACGCTTCGCCAATGATGCCCACAACTCGGACAACTTCGCAACATGAAAAACTCTTGGAACTTTTACGAGCTCAGGCGTACGAGGCGCTCGCCATTCAGGATCGAAATACTGCTGCCCAATTACAAGTTCGATTGTCGAAACCATTCTTGACTTTTATTTGTGTTTAGGAAACTGTTAGAGCTGTTGAACAATTATCTCAAAAACAAACGAAGCAAGTGCTTGACTTATTATGGAAAGAATACAATCGAAGATCAGATTACGTCCGATATCTCGTCAGAGCCAGGCAAAAGTTGCTTGGAGCTCTTGCTCACATAAGGGTTAGTATTTCACTCTTCTTCCATTTCTATCGAAAATTCTAGCGAATGTCGCGATCAGGAGAAAGAGCTCAAGAAAGCGGTCGACAGCATTTCTTATCAGTTGCGGCTTCGATTTTGTTGAAAAAGAAGTCGGACTCTGTTCAAGCTTTCGTTGGCCATTTCAATAGGCAACAGACGATGGATGACAAGGCCACTTTGGTCAACAAATTACTACAGTTCTTGTTCGGACAGGTGATTCTCAAATTTCTGGAGTCGGGTTCGTAGCAATCTACTTTAGATCCAGCAAGAGCCAGAATGGAAACATACGAATCACGACGAATTAGAAGAGATCCAAGCGGCCGTCCATCGCAGCCTTCTGACCAGACACAACATTTATCACCTGATTATTTACCCCAACAGAGAAATCGACATTGAACGCGATCGGGTACGCCTTTCTTTTCTTTCCAAGTTTCAATTCTAAAATAGGTTTTCACGCATCATATCGAGCAAATTTCGGCGAAAATCACGACCGACCACCCAAAACTTCAAATTCCAAAGAAATATTGCCGAGAAAGTCCGTGGCCGAGTGCTCAAGAAGAAGCACGTCTGATCTCAGTTTACCGGACGCCGGCGGAAAAAATGATGCAAACTACTCGTCTATGCAAGGTAGCACCTGGGAAATCTATTTTCATTCATTTTTCTTTCAGGCAATTTTGAATTTACTGAAATTATCGAACCCGTCAAACGTTCCTGGTGCAGATGATCTGGTTCCAGTTCTGGTTTATGTAATTATTAAAGCCAATCCTCCTGCTCTCTTGTCGATGATTCAATATGTTGAAACTTTTGTACCGGTAAGCAATTGAACTGTCTAATGAGGAGCCCACAATCCAATTTAGACTGGTGCCGGAGAAGACTCGTTTTACTGGATGCAGTTTACCGCCGCATGCAAATTCATCCAAACTATTGAGCCGTAAACAAAGAAAACCGCACCCTTTTCCTTCACGTTCACCCCCTTTTCTCCACAACTGAAAAATATAACTACTGTCCTCACTCTTGACTTTTCACCTTTTCTTTCTACTATTCAAGAATTGCAAATGCTTCTTCTCTCATTTTTACATACTATTGGTGGCTCTCTTTCCCCCTCTTATTCTTTTTTATTATTTATAAGTTTTGAAATTTTACGTTTGCCGATATAGTTCAGTTTCAGAAACAATCTTTCATAACAACCAAAAATGTCTCTTTCTTCAATGTCATACTCAATTCAAATTTCAGAAAAAACGCCGAAATTATTCGAAAAAAAATTATCATTTCATTAAAATCTTCAGTATGACAATCGCCTCATCGGATCAACGCTTAAATCTGCTGCCACAATAAATAGAAAAAAATATAAACTAAAATGTCGAAAAATATTGAGCATCAGCAGTTGAAGCTCGAAGCTCGAAAGAAGATCCGAAACATTGAAAATGACATCAAGGTGGGTTATTTTTGAGCTCAATTTTGGGAGTAAGAGACCTCAAGTAGAGTCTTAAATCTCATTTTCAGTCGGAGAAAATGGAGATGCAGTCGCTCATCGACCAGGGCCGTTTAATAACCGTTCCGTCTCCGCCTGCCAACGAGCAAGCTCCCTCTCAAGCAGCCGGGAAACAAGAACAAAAAACCCAAATTCCTTCGAAACCCGAGAAACTCTACGTTATCAAAGTCGAGCCGCAACGACCAGCGCCGCGAACAATCGCCATCGAAGAAAAACCACCGGCGAAACGAGTGAAGTTAGAAGCGAAAACGGAAAAGAAGATCAAAATCGAAAATGGGGAGGGCTTCGATCCAACTGGAAGCGTTCCTCCGCCGAGTACTCCAACTCTTGGCCGCCCGCCGAAGACGAAAAAGGCAAAAGAATTGAAAGCAGCGCAAGTTTCAAAAGTTCAAAATCGAAAACTCCCAAAGTGTTTGGAACCGAAACGGCGAAAAACACACTGGGATTATCTTCTGGACGAGGTGAAGTGGATGGCTACGGATTTCTACCAAGAACGGCGTTGGAAGAAAGAAGCGGCGAAGTTTTTCGCTGAAGCCTGTTGCGAAGAATTGAAGCGACGAAAAAACTTGAAAATCGAAGAAATTAACTGGCGAAAGCGAAATGCTGCGGCTGTTAGCGAAATTGTTCGCCAGTGGTGGAATTCTTTAGGCGCGCTTTCTGAGTATCGCAATATTCTGATGAGCAAGAAAAACGAGGAAAAGAAGCTAAATCTTCGGCCTCTGACGCCAGACACAGCGGATGATAGCTGCTTCGAGCAGACGAATCACAAATCAGAAATCGAGCTATTGGAAGAAGACGCTAAAACTCCCCTGCACATGATTTGCGATTTGGACAAACTCTACCCGGACGTAAAAGTCAAAAGATCGGACCTTCCCAAAATCGCAGAAAAAGACCTTCGCGAAGCAGATCAGCTCAAGCAGCGAATTCAAGAGCTTCAAACAATCAAAAACATCGAGCACAACTTTCGCTTTGACATTGAACTAGCCCACTACCAGCTTCAAGGGATCAAGTGGATGATCAATTCAAGAACGTTGGGTCTTCCGTGTCACCTCGCAGATGAAAAGGGCCTCGCTAAGAGAACACAGATCATCGTATACCTCCAGAACTCGGTTGGCACTTCCCTCCTCGTCGTTCAAAACCAGGATTTGTTTTATTGGCTGGCTCAGTTGAGTCACAAGTGCCCCGATTTCAAGTACTGCATGCACGATGGAAATGTCGCCAATGTTTTATCTGACGTCGATTTGGTTATCACAACCTACGAGATCGCCTCCAAATCGGAGTTTTTGCTCTCGACGAGGTGGAACTCCCTGGTTTTCGACAATGTTCCATCATCAAAAGATATTGATAGTCGCGCTTTGGCGACGTTGAAATTGATTTCCGCGAACCACAAAGTCGCCGTCACTCACACAAAGCCAACATCTAACGAGGCAAATTCCAACTCCAACTCGCTTAAAAACGAAAGTATCGTTTCGATCCTCCTCTTTCCCGATTGTCTCGTTTCGTCCAGACAACTGGGAAATTTTACCTTTGCCAGGTCGCAAGCAAACGTTCCCGACAAAGATCGACCAAGAAATACGATTTACAAGACGGTCAAATGTGCCATGAAAAAGCGCCAGAAAATTCTTTACGAGGACATGTTGATTCAATCGAAAGAAGATCTGGATTCCCAAGACCTTGATCGAGTCATGAGCGCTGTTAAACGACTTCTTCGAGTTTGCAACCATGCCGATTTCCGAAAACTTCCAAAAACCAAACAAGTCCAAATAAATCGCGAAACCAGTTGCAAGCCAGTTCATTCTCTTCTTTCTCAGTTGTGCTTTGTCAAATCTTCTCGAGGAATTTTCGAGAGTGAGCCCGCCAATCTTCTGAATCGAAATTCTCGTGTTGAGAAATCCCGATTGAAGGAGTTGAAGAGTGAGATAATGAAAGAACCCATGGAGAAAGCTGATGATAAAAATCAGCAGCAGAAAACTGAAATCAAGGAGGAAAAAACAATCAAGTCCGAGCCTGAGGATGAATTCCAAATCGAGTCTGACAAGCCAGAGCCTAAGATTTTCTTCCCAAACAACGATTTCTCCGGGCAGAATAGCATTTACGAAGATACGATTTCCTCTTGTCGCATAAAATTCAATGAACATTCTTCTTCCCGACGAGGCGCGCTAGAATTCTCCAATCGATTGAAAAATCGGAAAAGATCGCCCTGGGCTCTTTCAAGCACTTTGAAAGGAATTTCTAGCGTTGTTTCAAATGTGCCTGTGAAATATAGAAGGGTCGAGCTTTACCCCCGAATATTTGTAAATAATGAAACTCCGAACAAACTTCTTGCTTATGAAAATGCTAAAATGCAATTTTTCTGTTCCACAAAACTCGAAAATTTGGCGATTATGATGGAGCGCCATCAGAAATTGATTAAAAAAGCTGATAATGCGGAAAAGAAAAGACCAATGAAGACGATGATTTGTGTCCGATCGGAAGAAAGCGCTGATCTTGTCAGATCTTTCTTCCTCCTCAAGCTCAAAGTCGAATCTGTTTACATTTCTCCACATGCGACCAAAGAGGAGAAAAACCGTCTTATCCATCAATTCAACTTTTCGAAAACGATGAAACTTCTTTTATTCAACACTCGCGCAGGGCATCTACCACTCCCACCGATCGGAATTGAAAATATTTATTTTTATGAGGATGAAATTTTACCCGCTGCTAGACAGATTTTCGATGAAGATACTGTTTGGCGAATCAATCCAAAGGAATGGTGAAATGATGATTCGTAAATTGATAAATTTAGCTTTTTATTAGTTTTCAATATTAAATTTATTCACCAAAACATAGATGGTGATCCGAATGGTTGCAAAAGACACTGTAGAAGAGCGAATCTGTACGTTTAGTCCGAAAATTTACGGACAGACGATTCAAGGCGTCCATGCGCTTCTGACAAGCGTCGTTCCAATAGACATGAATCCTCTGAAAGATCGACGAAGAGCTTCCGCCCTTCCGTGGCAGTTGAAACTTTGTAATAAAGAAGAGCTTTCAATCGCGGAGAAACTGATGAATCTCCCACCAACAGAAGAAGAAGATGACGAAGAGAATATGGAAACGGACGCCGATTGTCTTTCTCTTTCGGAAACGATTTTCTCGGACGATGAAGATCAAATTCTATCAGAGCTAACGTCCATCGAGAAGTTTGCGTTGAGACAAATAGATTACGACAATAATTTGAGCAGTAGGAAGACTGAATCAGTTGTATCGCCAGCTCCTAATTTGAACAGCTTCTTCGATCCGCTTGAAAGTGTAAATTTCAAAGAAGATGATTTGTTTATTTCTTCTGAATTTCTCGAGGCAACCCTTGTTGATCGAAAACAAGAGTTGATTCCAGTTTGGGCTCCGCCAACCCCACCGAGGGAGTCGACCATGGATTCATCGTACGGCAACGTAAACAATATCAATGCTGTTCACTACCGCACGGAGCTCTGGGAAAGCGCTTACGAATCGAAGCCAATGGCCCTGTCGGTTTCGAAGACGCGTCCAATCTTGTCGCCTCTTCCCAAAGCGGAACACGAACTTCCTCTCAGCTTCTTCCACAGAAACACGAAGGCCATCATGAACCACAGGAAGCAGCTCAAGAACGAGCCAAAAACCCAACACGTCCAGACCCAATTTTCAAACCATCCTTGGCTCATCGATCATGAATTGACGCTCGCGATGGCTGTTGAAGATTTTTGCCGAAATTCGAATGTCCCTGTCAATTGGGAAGAAGTCGCCAGTATTATCAACACTTACTCGAGCTCGTATCATTCTCCTTCAAGTGCGAAACAGCATTATGAAAATGAAATAATCCCCCGCGAAGAAGGAAAACCAGCGATTGTTCCAGGCCAGAAAGTTCCGAAAGTGTCCAAAAAAGCTCAACTTCTTGGTTCTGATAGAAAAGCTGGACAGAAAATGAGGAGTAAAACTGCGCAAATGTACCTACAAGACAACAACTCCTCTATGTCGAAGCATTTCAAGACGATTTTTAATGATCTTCTCGATGTGACAATAAAGAAAGACGAGCGCCACCGTGATATCAACCAAGTGATTTTGAAGCCAATTCCCAAGCTTGAAAGAACAAGGGAAGATAAAGACGGAAACTATCCGGACAAAGAAGGTCACCGGTCGATCATAAAGGGATACGGAATCAATCCTGATGCCTGCTTGACGCCTCTTGAAATCATCAAAAAGTACAAACACAGAGGACTGCCTCAGGAACTCAACAACGCCAGAGCAGGTGTTCATCCCTTGGCGACGCCTATGGGCACGCCAAGAACGCCCTCTAGTCCGAGCTCGAATAGACCAATTAAGAATCAATGGCATCCTCCCGGAACACAGCCTCAGCAAATGCCAAGCCATGTTCAAGTTCGACAAAAGCAGCCGAACGCGAGAAAAAGGCCTGGATCAGAGTCGATGGGTGGGCCCGGGCAAAAGATTTTCTATCAAGGTGGCATGCAACAAGTCCAACGCTACACATCCCCTCAAGAAGTTCATCCAAGAAAGGTCAATTCGCCAAGACCAGGGCACCATGTTCAGCATAGAGCACAAGTTCCGCCAAATCAGCAATTCGTTATCCAAAATGGAAAGCCCATTCAGGTATTTTTCTCGTTGTCGAAAAAGTATTAATCTGATTAGATCAATACTGGCTCAAGTGGTATTCAAATTCAATCGCCTGTTAATCAACATCCGATTAAAACCGAATATGTTCCGCAGGTGGCGATTTCTGGCGCGAATCAGGGAATTCAGCTCGTGAAAACCGTCGTCAATCCCAAGGTAAGTCTTCCTTGATTTTAATGAAAATATCGTCCCATTTCAGCAAGAACCACCAGATAGTCACGAGCAGGGTCAAAATCAGTCCGTGGTGATATCTACTGTCGAGCAACAAGTTAACGATCAGCCGCAGATGATTTACGTCCAGAGCAATGAAGGCAACAAAATAACTCTGAAGCCGTTGGCCAGTCATCAAGGCCGTCAAAGTGAGACAATTTTTATTAATCAATCCTAATTTTTTTAGTTATTCAAATCCCCCAACCAAATGCCCAGTACATTTCTATCAATCAGCACGGGAAAGTCATCGGTTCTCAAGGCGGTCCACCGAAATTGTACATCAAGAACTCCGGTGCTTCTGGTAAGAACGAAAAATACACCGATTTCGTTAACGAAAAAACGTAGGAACTCCGCATCAAGTAGTCTTACAGCCAGATGGCTCCCAACAACTCGTTATTCCGTCGAATATGATTCCCCAACAGCGACTGCTCGTCCAAACGTCGACAGGAAATATCATTCCTCAAGGAAACAAAATCTTCATTCAACAAACTGGAAACATTAACCAACCAATAATTCTCAATCAGGTTATTTTTTTTGAATTTTTATCTTATCTCTTTCTTAGGGTCAACAAATCATAACGAACAACGGTCAAATTCTAACACTCCAGCCCCAGCAAGGAAAGGGAGGTCGAATGTTCGTAACGCAGCAGCCACAGCAACGAGTGATGGTCCAGCAAGCCCCACGCGGCGGGAACGCGCGCGCAAATCAACCCCAGCAAGTGATGATGGCTAATTCTAGCAAAAATATTGTACAAGTTCAACAGCAGCCCATTCAACAGTCAGTAAGTCAGGTCAGCTATCTTCGTCAAGTAGGAGCGTTTCTTTTCATGATTACTTTATTGCTTCTTTATATAAAAGCTTTTTAGATAATCAATCCCATCGGGGGGCAAACGATTCAAACAACCATTCAACCCAATCAGCCCGCACTGCCCGCTTCTGCCGAGACAAATGTGAGGCCAATTAATCAGCGAAATTAATCCCTAGCAATGTGTTTCCTTTCAGATCACTCTTCAAACTACACAGGCGCAATTTGATCGATCAAACTCGAGTAGCTCCCAACTGGCAAGTGGGACCAGTACTGCGCCAGCAACACCCACCAATTTCGAGCCTGCGCCTAATAATGTTTCTCAGGCAAAATGATCCTTTTCAACTTTTGTTTCAAAGTCATTCATTTCCCCTTGTTCCTTCTCAAAAATTATTCTGAATCCTTAATTTCTTGACTGACAACTTAAAAAACATGTAACCTATTCTTCGACTTTCTCTAACCATTATTACAGTAGAATGGAGGACTTACACGACAAAGTAAATATAGACAGCAAGAGTACTGTCAAAAGAAGAGTCGAGCAAAATTTGACAGATCAACCTCCACGGAAGTTTCCGAGAACGAAAGTTGATCATGTTAGTGGGTAGAATTACTTGCTCTTCATCTGTTCTCTTCTATGTCTTCACTAAATGTTCTTATTGAAAAATCTCGCTAAAGAGTTTTGGACTTAATCAGAATGGATAGTGATGAGGAAATCGAAATTGAAGAAATTGAGATTGGAGAGCGACTTGTCCCCGAATCAGACGAAAATGGTATAAAAGGAGTTTTCCGGCAAATTTTGACATTGATTAAGACAACGCAATTGAAGACCAAGAACCAGCAGTTGAAGAAGTGCAACCTGCGAAGACATTCCGGCGCGGTTGTAATCAAAATCTTAATTCGAAGCGAGCGCAGCTCCAAGCGCGTCGGGCCGAGCTCAATTACTCGCTCGATCACCAAATGAAACTGTTGCGCGGTGCGGAGAATCTCTACCGCGCCACGGGCAACACGAAAGTCAAATCCACCGTCTCCCTCGAGCTTAGCTTCGTCGAGGCCGCTGTCGAGATTTTGAAGGACGAAATTGTCGAAATCAATGGAACGCTCAATGTTTACCAGAGCGTATCAGAGACTATTTCCATGCCGATGATTCCCTTGGGATTGAAGGAGACGAAACCTATCGACTTTACTAATGTGCTTAATGACTTTATGTTTGGGTTGATAACCATCATCTTTATAAAAACAGACCGTTATAGTCCGTAATTTTTGAAATAAAAGTATTGAAAATCAACTCTTTGCAGTCTTGAGCACTATTCGGACGAAGGGTCTAAATATGAACCGGAAATTGCCGAGCTGAACTCGCTGCGCGAAGGAACTCAAACCCCAACTCGCGACGAGGAAGGCATTGACCTGTTGTTTGAGTATTACAATCAACTTTACTTTATCGACAATCGATTTTTTCCACCGTCGCGTCCATTAGGTTTGTATTATCTGCGTTTACGCGCTCCAAAAACGCTAAATTAAAGGGATTTACTTGGCTTGGTTTGATTCACTTACGGGCATCCCGAGTATCCAGCGGAATTGCGCTTTTGAGAAAGGTAAGTTCAGAGAGATTGAATTTATTGAGCACTTTCTCTTTTGTCGTTCAGCATGCGTTCTATTCAATATCGGAGCTCTTTATACTCAACTTGGATCGCGACTGTCCAGGAAAGGAAATCGCTCTTAGAAAGAAAGAACTGTACTTTGAGATTTAATCTTGAAATCAAGGAAGAGTTTCGATTTCAAATGAAAAGAACTAAACGAGACGGAATTGAAGAAGCGATTGAAACTTTTCAACGAGCAGCAGGAGCATTTAATTACATTCGTCTGAATTTTTCAAATGCTCCGACGGCTGATATGAGCGCATCGTTCTTGAATGGAATCGTCAATCTTATGCTTGCGCAGGTGACTGATCACATTTCTATTGTCGATTCGAAAGAAGTGTATAGGCACAAGAGGGCATTTTCGAAAAGAAAATGCTTGGCGGACTGCACGAAGCTACAGTCGAAAAACTCATCGCCACATCGTCGGAAGCTTCCAAGGTCTCGGAAAAGTACAAGCTCGTTACAAGCGTAATGACCTCCGACACGCAATATGTCAAATACTTGCCATCAACATGGAACTCTGTCGTGCAAATTAAAGCCTGCCATTATCGAGCATTGAGTCACTACTTCTGCGCGATGTCGCTCATACATGAGGTAAATATACGTACATGGATTAAGGGTGTCTATTGGGATAAATCCATAGCTCAATGGCCAGATTGTTCGAATGCGCTCTAATGCCATTTTTATTATTAAGGAGTTTCACCAAATACGCGAGCCATCGGGCCTCTACAATGGCTTCTACTGTTCTGAATTTCCGCCAGATTATCCGAAAATAGAAGAAATGGTCAGAACAAAAAAGCTGCGCCGCGGACTGGCGCGCGCCCATCTCAGCCTCGCCCTCAGCGTTCACGAAGTAAGACTATCATAGGCAACTAATAGGATAATTATGTCAGAGCTCGCTCCAAATCCAGCGATGCTGCGCCGGGTTGAAGAAAGTTGGATCGTTACTGGGCCAGTTTTTGAATCACTCAAAGAGAAGGAACGCGGTGGAACGAGGGCTAAATGAATACTTTATTTTTTCCAAGTTAACCTTTAGTAGGGTCTGCAAATGTCATAAGTATTTGGGTTTGCAGACCCTAGTCATCTGCGGTTAATAAATAAAAAACCTGTGTATTAAACCGCTTTTCGCAGAACTCAAGAATTGATGCGCACACTTGAAATGGACGAGTTCGTCGGAATGCCGCCCGACATCTCCCCGAAATCAGATACAGAGGCGGAAATCGTCGCCCCTAACTTCACACGCGTCAAGGTCTTGGACATATTCAGACGGCTTGGACCGATGTCCATCTTTTCTGCGAGAAATCGATTTTCCGCGCCACGAGTTATCAAAATCAACAGGTATTTGAATACAGTAGCGCATTGTGAAAAAGTCGATCGAAATCAAAGTCTTTCTTGATCGAAAGGAAGAGTTTTTATAGCTTTTTCTGATCAGAGAAAACTTCTTGAAATCAAGGAAGAGTATATCTTCGCTGCTGAGTTCGGAAATCCTTGTAGACACCTGAGTCAGAGTACTGAAAGAGCTCTAGGCGGTCTTTGATCAAAACCATTTCAGAAATCTCAATCCGTTTTCTACATAAGTTGCAGACCCCAGCTAAACTGAAGTTTATCTGAATATGGCAAAGAAGCCTTCTTTGAGCAAATGCCAATTATTATTTCAGAAGTTCGAACGGATTCGGCTTCACCGTCCGTGGCGATGCGCCGGTGCTCGTCGCCAACGTAGAAGGTAATGAGCGCACAGTGAGAAAAATGTTTTCTGACGTTAATTAGCCGATGGAAAGGCAAATCGGGCCGGACTAAGAGAAGGCGACGTTGTCACCAAAGTGAACAAAAAAGATGTCAAATGGGCGAGACACTCCGATGTCGTAGATATGCTCCAATGCGACAAATTAGAGATTGAAATTGTCACTGTCCAGGTATGCAACGCGGCATTATTAATACTCCCTACAGAATAGGAAACAAAGGAAAAAAATAGATATTAAAATAGAGTTCAGCCAGAGACATACGCGACTTGTTTAACCTTTTTGGTCTCGTTTGTGATCATTTTAAGCCAAAGAGATCGGAATTTTCTTTTTCTGGTCCAACCAAAATGCTTCAACTTTTATAAAACTTTTCAATATTTCTTCTCCTGACTCTGAAATCAAGGGTGTCGACCTGGCTCCACAAGCAACAACAGGGCATGGACAACATCACCATCATCACCACCACCACGAGCGCCAAAAGTCCCACCCTCACCAACACCATCACGGCGCGAAGGGGCAGAAAGTCAATCGCAAGAAATCGTTCTTCGGCAGCTTTGGCCGAAAAAATCGCCCGACCCAATTCTCCAATGGGACGAACCCATATGGCCAGACCATATACTAATTTATCAACAATTCTTTCTTGGAATTATAAAAGTGTCAGTCGATCCTTGACGCGCCCATATGAAAAATTACACGCAAAAATCGAAGCCTAATGATTTTTTTTCTTATTTCACTCGTTTATGATGCGAAAAACAACTCAACCTACTGTTCTCTGTTTTCAACAAATTCTGTACTATCAATTATCAATTGTGCCTTTTTACCTAGATTTTAAACCCAACCTGCTTCCGAAAATGTTCCTTTGCCTAACAAACACTGCTTCAGTTCTTCGAAAACTACTGTTACTCTTGTCTACTGTTTCTGAATCCAACTTTCTACTGTACTTCTTTCTTTAAAACCCCCTTTCATTCATAATTCTATTTAACCTCAAGTTCAGCAAAGGGGGCAGAAATCACTTAATTTATTTTTTAAAAGGAATGAGTTTGACGCTAATTCGCTGCAGTAGGCGATTAATTGTTTCCCGTGGGATGAAAATATACACAAAAACCGGTGACAAAGGTTTGTGACAGCTTCGAGATTTGAATTGCTTTCTAAGCGAATTTTTCAAGGAACGACATCTTTGTACACTGGTGAAAGACGCCCTAAGGAACAGTTCTCAAATCGGCCTCCCCGGGCTGGTTTCGGCAACCTGCGTGGAAACCTGAGTCAGGATATTAAATTTGTCTTTTTATCAAAGATCCTTCGGGACCCTCACTCAGATTTCTGCAGGTTGTCGAGCCCAGTCAGGGGCGGGGACGCTCGTCTAAATTACCAAAGATTTTTGGTAATGCATTACCAAAAATTGGTAATCCATTACCAAACTTTTTTCATAAGTTCTGATTTTTTGTCCAAAAAATGAGTAAATCACTCCCAAACGTTTTCTATCACACAGGCGCGGAGCGCACAAGGGCTCTTTGACTAAACAAAATTGGCACTTTTCGGGAAGTTTGGTAATGCATTACCAAAAATTGGTAATGGATTACCAAAATTGGTAATGCATTACCAATTGGTAATTTAGACGAGCGTTTCCCGTCAGGGGAGTGCATCTAGTATTTTGAATTATATACTTTTATCCCTTTTTAAAACTGCAGAACAGACGGATCTCGTCTTTGACGCCTTGGGAGCGACAGATGAGCTTTCGGCTGCACTTGGAGTCGCTCGGGAATTCGCGTACGATCGCCAAATGCAAAATGTTATTACAATAGGTAAAGCCACAATAATCCTCGCTTGATACTGGTTATTACCTGATTAAAGTTGCTCATTTATTATTTTTCAGTTGGCGACCTTCAAAGTCGGCTTCAAGAAGTTGGATCGGCCATTGCGACGCCTATTTCGTCAGGTTTGTATTGGACTCGCCTTGACCTGGCTTTAATTTTTGGATGATCAAATCCAAATCGAGCTGAACCCTTTTCTTAGCCTCGGAAATGAAGCTCAAGCGCGTGAGCTTCGACGAATCAGGAACGGCTCAATCAGATTTGATACTGAACATCCAGCGGAGTAGGATCAGAGAATAAGCCCGGGAAAAGAAGTAAAGAAGCTTGAAGATCTAATCGACGAACTTGACGCCCAACTGCCACAGCTTACGACTTTTATTCTTCCCGGAGGAGGAATGCGGCTTTTGAATCAAACCCGATTTTTAAAAGATTTAGGAGAGAGCGTGAATTTTTCATGTTTCAGTTTTTAAAGGCAATAGGTACTAGCTACTTCATGGATGATTCAAACGCCGTGTCAGGAAAGTGCGCTGCGCATTTGCACATGGCAAGAACTATCTGTCGAAGGGCTGAAAGAATGTCTCTGCCGTTGGCAGATAGTGGCGAGTTGGATAGGTACCTGGGTTTCAGAAAAAACGGCACTATGTTTAAGTGAGCTCCTAAAATGAAGATTTTCTTCTATGTATTCAGTGAAATCAAAGAGGAAATCTTTTTAAATTTTGATCCAAGTTTGACTAATTAAATTTCAAAATTGAACGTAACCGGTAACCACTGAAGTTTTATCGGCAATGGCAAAAAATTTGGTAATTGAATTTTTAAAGAACCTCTTCGAAATTGACTCTTTTTTTGTGATGTCACATGTCGAGGTGCGGCTTATACATTTTCTCTGCTGCTCGGCGGCTCTTGAATATTCATAGCGTTATTACTCGGCATCTAATAATTCAGCAAGCTTGAATTCTTCGACGCTTATTGGATAATCATGCATTTGCAGGCATCGAGCAGAAAAGGATTTTTGACAAAAACTAATTAATTATTAACGTTCTAATGCATTTCACCGAGCTACAGCTATCTGCATTCTACCAGCAGAGCTCGCGAGTTACAAAACACCTTTTGTCTGCCAAGAAATATCGCTAAAATGTCCGCCGCCACACAAGGTCAGTTGAAGGAATCGAATTGATTTTTGCCAATTTACTATTTTTCACTTCATTTTTTTTCTTTTTCAAACATGCCAAAACCAGAGATGATCAGAAGATTCTCTAAGGGCATCATCAAAATATTTTCGCCAACAAACTCCCTTGGTAAATAAAAACTCATCTTATTTTTATTTTCCTAATAGGAAAATTTGTCGTTAAAACTTATAGATAGCAATAAAGTAGGATTATTTCCTATTCAAGATTCACTTTTTACGAAAAATCTGAGAGAAAACTTTGAAAATTTTCATATTCTTCTTGATGATTTTATTCACGAAGATGCATTTTAAGAGAGGTATGAGACTTCTATGAATTGTATTTTTGCGGAGCCACAAAAGATAGTCAATCTGCCTGCTTTTATATACACCTTTTGGACCCCGACAAGTTGAACTTGTCAAGTTGGGCGACCATTAGAGGATTTATTTACGACTATTGTGCATCCATGTTTATATTTCCTATATAACTGCATTCAGCCGCTTTTTGCCATCTAGCGAGCCGGCAACTTAGCCTCCAATAGTCACTTTTAGGAATCGCTTTTTCAGTCATCTACTTTTTATTTTTTCTTGAAAGAGGGAAAGTTGAAAGATGTTTTTTTCAGCGGCCAGTTTAGGTTAGTTTTTAATTATTTATATACTTGTCACTTGATGGAGGCTTTTGGTCACTATTGGAAGTGAACTTAGTGTAGGCCAAGTGTCATTTTGTCAATATTTGATGAGATTGGTGAGTTTGTTCCTTGCATTTGCATTAAGCAAAAGCATATGTTTGCTGGGTATAATCTGGGGCGTTAATGTTTGTTTGAAATGAAAAAATGGGTGTATTTGAATATCTACTTTCCGGAGCGTTATTCCCGCTTTTTTATAATTTTAATTATTCGAACTTCCCTGATTTACTGGCAAAAATCGTCATTAAACTTGGCAGGGTCTATAGCTCCTATATTAATAATGGTATGCTATCGTAAATATTGACAGATCGGATTCCTATCCGGATTTTTATCTCTTCTCTAATTCATCATTTCGGCTCTTATATTCCAATTTTTTGAGAAAGAAAACGTACTGAGTTCCCAAAATGGGACTCTGTGGCTGTTGCTCCAGTCGAAAAATCCATGGTATGAACTTTTTCTCATAGTTTTTTAGCAACTGAGAAAAGCATTATTAATTCGGGGAGTGAAAGAAGATTTTGGCATTTTTTCCACTCGAGGACTGATCAATCAATTATCGAATGATTTAGTCCAGGTTCTTTTATTGATAGCAAATAGCAGAATTAATTTGTAACTGGCTGAAAAGTCTCGCTCAGACTGTAAAAAGGATGGATGAGATTGATTTGAGATGAGATTTTTGTACAGGATGATTCAGTGTTTCCGGGCGAAAGGTACTGTAATTACTACTTTAAAAACGCTTGTTTAAAAAGAGTCAGAGAAAGTTTTTGATCAGCTGTCATTTTTGCTTCCTTTCGAAAGTATTCATAAAAGAACGAGAGACGGGGTCACTATGCGGTAATAATTCAAAACGTCACGGGCGGGAAAAGGCGCTTGATCTCACCTGCTCATTAGTTAAATTTATTAGACATGTTGGTGCAAACGCTTTAATCAAGCTTTTCCTTCGGATTACTCTCTTTTTCGGCTCTGCATAGAGACTTGAGAGGATTAGACGAAAACTAATTTTCGCCAGAGATAGCTTCTCAGATCAACGAGGATAGCGAGAGATCTAAAGCTGTCTGCGAGATTTTTTTTAATTTAAAAATTTTAAGAGAAGGGTAAAGCAATATAAAGGGGCCTCAAGCCTTAGATGATTTAATAGATATTCATTAGATAGTATTTAAAAGGGCTTCTTCCTTCGTTCTCTCACTTCCCAAAAGAAGTGCATTGTAGCCGAAGTATGAACCAGGGGAGATCCGCAGGAAGTTCCAGGATGAACGAGACCCCCTGTATATATCGGGATCCCCACAAAATTCAGAGCATTTTTATAGTTTTCTGAGTTTTCTGAAACCCGTTGAATAGAAACGTATGCCGCTATCTTAATCGCCTGTCAGATTTATTGTTCCAGCTCGCCCGTAGCGCCCAACCAGGGATGTACATTCGCAGCGCAAAATCCGCAAAACAGCGCAAAATGCGGGATTTTTCATTCTGCAGCGCAAAACAGCGCAAAATCAGCCCCAAAAATTTCCGCAATTTTTCCGCAAAATTGCGCGCAAAAGCGCATTTTGCGCGAAAATTGCACAAAATCTCAATAAATTTGCAGTCCGCAAAATGCAATTTTGCGGGATTTTGCGTAGAATTTCTACATTTTTTTGATGTTCATTGTGAAGATTTCCGAATCAAATCCTCATTCATCATCGCATTCACAACTTCGGCGGTAATTTGCGGAAGAAAAACTAAATAATCATCCGACATAAAACCGTCCGATATCGTAGTTAACCAACCGGTCATTTTTCGGGCCGTTTCAGCCCCGTTCCTTGATTTCTAAATTTAAGGGGCTTGACGGCCCTTCGGGCCGTTTCAGCCCCGTTCCTTGATTTCTAAATTTAAGGGGCTTGACGGCCCTTCGGGCCGTTTCAGCCCCGTTCCTTGATTTCTAAATTTAAGGGGCTTGACGGCCCTTCGGGCCGTTTCAGCCCCGTTCCTTGATTTCTAAATTTAAGGGCTTGACGGCCCTTCGGGCCGTTTCAGCCCCGTTCCTTGATTTCTAAATTTAAGGGGCTTGACGGCCCTTCGGGCCGTTTCAGCCCCGTTCCTTGATTTCTAAATTTAAGGGGCTTGACGGCCCTTCGGGCCGTATCAGCCCCGTTCCTTGATTTCTAAATTTAAGGGGCTTGACGGCCCTTCGGGCCGTTTCAGCCCCGTTCCTTGATTTCTAAATTTAAGGGGCTTGACGGCCCTTCGGGCCGTTTCAGCCCCGTTCCTTGATTTCTAAATTTAAGGGCTTGACGGCCCTTCGGGCCGTTTCAGCCCCGTTCCTTGATTTCTAAATTTAAGGGGCTTGACGGCCCTTCGGGCCGTTTCAGCCCCGTTCCTTGATTTCTAAATTTAAGGGGCTTGACGGCCCTTCGGGCCGTTTCAGCCCCGTTCCTTGATTTCTAAATTTAAGGGGCTTGACGGCCCTTCGGGCCGTTTCAGCCCCGTTCCTTGATTTCTAAATTTAAGGGGCTTGACGGCCCTTCGGGCCGTTTCAGCCCCGTTCCTTGATTTCTAAATTTAAGGGGCTTGACGGCCCTTCGGGCCGTTTCAGCCCCGTTCCTTGATTTCTAAATTTAAGGGGCTTGACGGCCCTTCGGGCCGTTTCAGCCCCGTTCCTTGATTTCTAAATTTAAGGGGCTTGACGGCCCTTCGGGCCGTTTCAGCCCCGTTCCTTGATTTCTAAATTTAAGGGGCTTGACGGCCCTTCGGGCCGTTTCAGCCCCGTTCCTTGATTTCTAAATTTAAGGGGCTTGACGGCCCTTCGGGCCGTTTCAGCCCCGTTCCTTGATTTCTAAATTTAAGGGGCTTGACGGCCCTTCGGGCCGTTTCAGCCCCGTTCCTTGATTTCTAAATTTAAGGGGCTTGACGGCCCTTCGGGCCGTTTCAGCCCCGTTCCTTGATTTCTAAATTTAAGGGCTTGACGGCCCTTCGGGCCGTTTCAGCCCCGTTCCTTGATTTCTAAATTTAAGGGGCTTGACGGCCCTTCGGGCCGTTTCAGCCCCGTTCCTTGATTTCTAAATTTAAGGGGCTTGACGGCCCTTCGGGCCGTTTCAGCCCCGTTCCTTGATTTCTAAATTTAAGGGGCTTGACGGCCCTTCGGGCCGTTTCAGCCCCGTTCCTTGATTTCTAAATTTAAGGGGCTTGACGGCCCTTCGGGCCGTTTCAGCCCCGTTCCTTGATTTCTAAATTTAAGGGGCTTGACAAAGGCTTGGAACTCTGAGTTGATAAATCTCAGTTCTGTCCCCAACCCCACCCACACCCATCATTTAAAAAATCTATATTATCATTGTTTTTTGCTTAATTATGGTTATTTTTGAAAACCTTGAAAATAACTTATTATAACTTCGGAATAATGTCCCCAAAATTTTATCTCTCCATTTTAAGTAGAAATAAATGGGGCCAAAAATACCACAAAATTCGCAGATTTTCGCAAAATGCGCGAAAATCCCGCAAAATATGCAAATTTTCGCAAAATCCGCGAAAATCCCGCAAAATCGCAAAATTACGCAAATTGCGTGTCATCTGCGCAATCCGCAATTCCGCAAAAGCGCGAAATCCGCAAAATTTTCGCAAAATCAACAAATTTTGATTTTCCGCAAAACAGCGCAAAATTCCGCAAATTGCGCGATTTTTGGATTTCGCAGCGCAAAACAGCGCAAAATGGACCCCAAAAATTTCCGCAATCGCAGCGCAGCGCAAAGCAAAAATTTGTGCGAATGTACATCCCTGCGCCCAACAACAAGAAGGCAAAACCGATCAGTTCAAATCGTGAATCTTTACCTAAAATTATCCAACAGTTCATTCTTGACATCCCAATGGTTCTGACAAACTTGTCGAAATACGGTTATTAAACTTTCAAGCTTTCACTTACCGCTTGATTTACTGACCATAGTGCTTACGTAGAGAGGCATGTAATCGCCGAATATACAGTGTCGTCAGCTTTTTCTGACGTAGAATCTATAATGCGCCACTTAGCTGTTTCTACAATTCGATTGTCTTCGCCATTAAGAATTCTATAATTACATTACTTCTTTGAAACCAAATGAATTTTACCCCTTGTTTAAAAATGAGAGGAATAAATTTTTACGGGGCCCTTGAAATTATTTCATAATGTACATTTTTCTAGTGACACCCTTATACTAGTAAGATTAAACTAAGGGAGACTTCGAACCATTTTCAAGTTCTTCTCAATTCTTAGAATCAATTTTTATCGAAAATGGTAGATGCGTAAAAAATGAAGAGTTAGTTGACTTTGTCATAAAATCATTCTCTTGCAGAAGTGAGTTAGCCTCTTCTTTTCATTTGTTGAAGAAGAAGCAAAGGTCAGGTGGAAAGGGCGAGACTAATCCGGAGCGTGTTTAGATGGAGTAAGTGATCCAAGCGACTCTAACATGAGCGACTACTACGATGACGACTCTTCAATGCGGAAGACGACGCGCCAGGTCGGACGCCATGGGGCCGTCAGAGGCAAGAAAATATTCAAAGAGAGAGGTCACGAATTCACTGCCCATTATCTTAAACAACCGACGTTCTGCTCTCACTGCACAGGCGCGGACTTGAAATTATTTAGACCAACAAATTTTACTAGAAAATATTTTTGTAATTTTATTAATTTTCAAATTATTTAACTAACTTTGTTCAATTACATACTCATGAGGAAGTTATTTTACTTTCATATTTTATTTTTTGGCATCTTGTGGTATTTTCCGCTGCTATCATCTCTGATTGGGTGAGATGAGGAGTTCTCATTTCTGATTGGCTCATCGCCTAAAAAATAAGCGTTATTTACCTCAAGAAAATCCATTTGAGCTGAGCTCAAAACCTTAGTCAGGGTCCTTTGCGCAGATTTTATTGAAGCTCTTTTAGGACCCTGACTCAACTTATGAAGGCATTCTTCTTCCACCCGGAATTCCTTAAAAACTCGTCAGAAGTTTCCAAATATCAAAGTTGATTTACAGTCCTCCTTGAGATTTTATTTGGGGCGTTTTTGGCCCGCAAGCTTACAGGTGCCAGCGCTGCAATTTAGTTCTTCACAAACGCTGCTACGAGTTTATTGGATTCGCGTGTCCCGGCGTTGATAATGGCCACGAGGGACAGTCAAAGGTACACACGAATGTTAAGAAATGATTTAAAAGGGTGTGAATCAAGAGATTCTTTCCGCAAAGTCGTAATTCAGAAAAGACTCAAAAGATAGTTTGTTACTATTGTCGAAAACAAAAAGATTTATCGAGTGACCTTTAAAGTCGACAAGCTAAGACGCGACTTACGGAAAGTAACTCTGTTTGACGCCTTCTGTCGGCTGAGTAACGGGATTCTCACTCATTACATCCGTTTTCCAGGCGCACGATTTCAAAACCCACACTTATGGGCACCCGACTTTCTGCGACCACTGTGGGTCCATGCTTTATGGCCTCGTCAAGCAAGGAGTCAAATGCGTAACCTGCGGCGTCAACTCACATAAGCGATGTATCGATGTCTTCCCTCATACCTGCGGCTTGAATCATCAGGAGAAGAGAGGGCGGCTGAGGATCAAGGTTAGCTTTCAAATTAAAGTTAGCGACATTTGAAATAGTAACGGACGTTTACGTTACCGTTACGTCGGAACGGAAGCCTCTCTTTTCGAAATTCTTGTGTAAAAACGAGGAATAGTTAATTTTACGGCTAGACAATAAAACGTCACCACCCCTTGAAATCAAGGAAGAGTATCGAAGTTTATCATCAAGCATTTGAGGACATCATCAGTGCTAAATATCCACTTTAGGCTTATGTGACGAACGACGAGCTAAAAGTTGAAATCTTCGAAGCGAAAAACCTCGTCCCAATGGATCCCAACGGCTTATCTGATCCCTACGTCAAAGTCAAAATCCTACCAGATCCGAAAAAGGAGACGAAGTTGAAAACTTCGGTGGTGAAAAAGAACTTAAATCCGACTTGGAACGAAGACTTCAAAATGCGAATATCGTCAAGCGACTATTCCAAACGACTGCTCATCGAAGTCTGGGATTGGGACAGACTCAATACTAATGACTTCATGGGGAGCATGTCGTTTGGAATTTCAGAGCTCAAAAAGGTAAATAGAATATTTTGCCATCATTGTTCATTGCCATAGAACTCTGCTGATGGATGGTACAAGCTCCTAGCTAAAGAAGAAGGAGAAGCCTTCCACATTCCGATCGAGTATTCCTCGGAAAAGAACCGAGAAATCAAGGAGAAACTCGACGTTATTCAAGCTCAAGAGAAGCTTAAAAAAGCGACGATCAAAAAGAAACCGTCGATAATCGGCACTAGATCCTCTCTCGGTAGAGTATTACTTATATACTAGCAAAAGTAATATTCTATCTTCGAATTGATCTCTCAATAACGACTCTTCGTTCAGAGGATTATAATCTGCTGCACGTTCTCGGGCGCGGATCATTCGGAAAAGTCTTTCTGGCGCAGTCGAAAGTCGACAAAAAATACTATGCAATCAAAGCTCTTAAAAAAGACGTCGTTGTCAAAGACGACGACGTCGAATGCGTCATGTGCGAGAAACGTGTCCTCGCTCTTCAAAACAAACCGCCTTTCCTCACTTATCTCCAATGTACATTCCAGGTACCGTTCTTAGTGTTTTCTTTCCGGAAATCAAGGAAGACCTTGCCGAGTCTAGCTATTTCCTTCAAGAGCGGAAAGAGTTAAATCGAGTTTCTAGACGCCGGATAGACTGTACTTTGTGATGGAGTACGTCTCTGGCGGCGATCTCATGCATCACATCCAGCAAGTGCACCGATTCAAAGAGCGACACACTGTATTCTACGCTGCCGAAATCGCACTCGCACTTTTCTTCCTCCACGAACGCGGAATCATTTACAGGTTTTCATTCCCCAAAGTCAATTTTTTTATCTGTTGATTCAGAGACCTCAAGCTTGATAATGTCATGTTGGATGCAGAAGGACACATCAAAGTAGCAGATTTTGGCATGTGCAAAGAGAACATTCTAGCGCAAGGCGAATTTACGAAAACTTTCTGCGGAACCCCGGACTATATCGCCCCAGAAATCATAGCATACATGCCATACGGCAGATCTGTCGATTGGTGGAGCTATGGCGTTCTCATTTACGAAATGCTGACGGGCCAGCCGCCTTTTGACGGCGAAGACGAAGATGAATTATTTATGGTAAGCATTCAATTGCTTTGATTGAAATTCATCGTGAAATTCAGAGTATAATGGACTCGAATCCAAAATACCCCCGGCATTTACATAAAGACTCGGTGCGATTTTGCAAAGAACTGATGCAGAAGAATCCGAAGAAACGATTAGGCTGCGACGGAATACCCACCAAGGGCAATCAAGATGTCATGGTATGCATCCCTTTTTAATATCCCATATGAATATGTTTCGTCTTCAGAGGCATCCGTTCTTCATCACCTTGATGCCAATTAACTGGGAAAAGCTGCGGAATCGAGAGATTCAGCCGCCCTTCCGCCCGAAAGAAGGAAAACTCACTGAAAATTTCGACAAGTATTTCACGAAAGCGGATCCCGTGGTGACGCCGACGGACAAGATGATTGTCGCCGGAATTCCCCAGGATCAATTCGCTGGCTTTTCTTTTGACAGGGATTCAGAAAAGAAAAAATTATCGCGCCAGAGCTCTAAAGCGAGTTCTAGAGCTAGTTCTATCAGGTCCAACGCTAGCCCTCAAGTTGTTCGCAGCTCACGAGCTTCGAGCTCGCGATCGCATAGTTCAATCCAAAATGATTACATTTAATCATTTAGTTTTTTCAATTTTTCCATAATTGATTCACTTTTAATTTGATTCCAAATCCCAAATGCACTCAACGACGAAGAAAACACAGTGTGAACACAACAAGAAACGCGATCCGCAAGAAATTATCAAAAACAAAGATGATCCGCACTCATTGCTTAATTAAGGCAAATTAACCATGATTGACCTCCTATGTGCATAACGATATTCGTGTGTTATTCCTGAAAGCACAACTTTGCATTTCCTGATTTTATTCTTTCATTTTCATTATATAATTTAAATTATGCAATTTCAGTATTTTTGTTTTGCTGTATATTCTCATCTATGATTTCTCCTTCCCTCATTAATGTTCCCTTATAAATTTTCATATATTTAAACTGGGAATGAGTAACTAAAGCAAAACGCCTGTATATGAGCACAAGATGAACCCCTTTTTATACGAAAAACTTTCCGGATACGACCTTAATTTTGATAATTATTAATTATTGCAAGAGTCATCAAAGTTCAATTCAACCCCTATCACTCAAAAACAAAGACCAAACTCGCTACTCTTATCCAGTCAAAATACGAATCTTCAAACAAACAAAAACACTACTGATCTTTACCACTCTAACTCTAAATCTCAGCTCCTTAAACGTTCATTGTACTGTACTATTTTGTTGTCCGAGTCATTCCTTCAATTTTATTACTTTTCATTCTCATGCAGCGCTTTCTCCTGAAGCCAATAAAATTTACAAAAATTCACGTTTCTTTTTCACTTGTTTCGTTTTTCGGCGAGGGATCAATGATTTCGCCGTCGATTTTTCGTTGTTGGGTAAAGTTGGTAATTGGGTAGTGAGGGTCAACGGTGATATTGAGGTAGAAAGTGTTGAATTGTTTTGAGAGAACTTTGTATGTTAAGTCCTTAATTGTAAAGTTAGGTTTCTAGTCTACTCCTGGTACTTACAGAGAGTCCATCATGATGTTGACGTTTTCCAGCATACTGTAGTAATGAATTTCTCAGAGGATTTTTCTCATTGCCTTCGTCCTCTCCATGCTTGATCATTCTATATTTTGAGATTTCATCAAACGGTCTGATGATAGTATATCCTTCCCCTTTCAGCCTAACTTGCAAGTCGTCGTCTTCTCCTCCCCAACCCCAGTATTCGTTGCTGTATCCGTTTAGTTTTTCGAATGTTTCTTTTGTAAAACTCACTAAAAGTAAGATTCCGCTTTTGTAAAGATTTTAACGAGGTACCTATTCCTCCAAAGACATTTTGATAGAGCGGCTTGTAGTTCCAAATGTCAATGTGCGCGGCGTAGTGGCGAGGATAGCGGGAGCAGAGATAGAGATTCCGATCGTCTTCCATCACGAGATCGACGTCGTGGAAAAAGAAGCAATCAAAGCCGTCGTTGACTGCTTCTTTGAAACCGATATTGAGGAGTTTTCCCCGATTGAAGGGTCGAAATCTTCCACCTTATTCTGGGTGATCTTTTCTGCGTATAAAAATGTTTTTCATAAAAGAGCACCGTTCCTTGATTAATGATATAAAATCGAAAATGAATATTCTGCCGTATAAGCGCTGGTATCATATAAAGAAGGAGCCATTTTAAATGTTTCGTCCTTTCGTTCGTTTTCGAGTTATCTCTGAATGGGACAGGGCGGTCTAATTTGCATTCTTGTAAATAATCTCGAAAATTTGCGAGATTAATCTTCTTTGGAAAAAGATTCTGAGATTAGTCAAGACTGGACTAGTTTCGAGATTAATCTTTTTAGCGAGGGTCGCGTGGCTCGGGGGAAAAATTTGGGTGGCGCTGGCGAGCTGTGAGCAGTGCGAGGCGGCGCGGACAAAATTTCAAGCTGCGCTACAAGCATGTTTGAGTTTCATTTTTCTCTCGCGCCGTCGGCCATTGGTCCACCAATCACAGCGCGCGTTTCAAGATTATTTGAAATAATCTCGATACTATTTCGAAAATTTCCCGAATTAATCTTTTTTATTCAAACAGACTAATCTCGCGTCGAGATTAATCTTATAAGAATAAATGAATAGTCTTCGGAAAAAAGACTATTTACAAGAATGCAAATTAGACCGCCCTGGAATGGGATGATAATGGCCACATGCTTGTTTTTTGGGACCAAACATCGTTCTTTCGGAAAATAGCTCGAACTGATGAATTTTGAAGAATATTCGTTCGTGAAGTTTTTGAAGCTTTCTTCCAGCAAATATGTCGGAAATTGCACATCGAAGCGACCTTTTTTCAAGTCATAAAATTTTCAGATTGGGATGGGAGTCGAAGGACTCTTGTGGTATGTGAAGCAAAATGCGGAGGAATTTTGCACGCGCGCTCGTCTGAACAATTATTTACCGAGCAAAAGAGGGCCGGACGGAAAAGTGAGAGTCGTTGTTGATGGCAACAATTTTGCGTATGAGGTTTTGCGGCAATCCAGAGCTCCAGGTACCGCTTGGGCTTTTGTTATTTAAAATCAATTTGAATAAGCCTGCTTTGGAAGTGAACCGGCTGTTTATGAACACATAATTCATCACAGATTCCTCAAATATCACCTAAAATGTTGCGACGAGATCATTTTCGTGATGGGCTATTCGAGTGCTCCAGGTAGCGATTGCTGGACAAAGAAAAGGGCGAATGAGCACGAAAGCGCTATGAAATTTTTCGAACGACTTCGTAATGGAGAACTTCCTCATAGTCAGGGAAATATTGGAAATGATGGTCACAGGAGATACGATAACTTGAAGGTGTCCCCGCCGTGGATTGTTCATCAAATCATGGAAATAGTTGAGAAGGACCCAAGAGTGCAGGTTTATCAAGCTGAGTGTGACAAAGACTTTGCGATCATGGATTTGGCAGTGGATCTTGGGTGTCCGATTATGAGCAATGACTCGGATTTTCTACTTTTTGCGGCGCAGGAAATGGTTTTTTTCGCAACTAAAGCAAATAAAATTTCCGATTTCTCGCTTCTGATTGGCAATTAGCGCCCTATCATAGGGCCCCTATGAGAATTTTAAAAACCTTATCAGCCCGTTATCAAAATGGGCGATTGGCGAGGAGCAGCTGACATTATCAGCGATTATTGGTACAGTTCACAAGATGTCAAGCTTCAGTTCTATCACCTGCCTCTTGTATCGGTTCTTTGCTTCAACAGAGAATGTGAAATCACAGAAGAAGAGCTTAGACCCTTCTGGTACGCGTTGATCGGAAAAGCGGAATTTGAGCATTCGAAGAAACCGAATGTAATTCCCGAGGTGATCAGATGGATTGTCCAGACTTTTGAAGAAGAAGGAAAGTTAAAAAAATATTTTAATAATCTTTGTAAACAAAAGATTTTTCAACTAAAACAGATTTTATGAGCTCGATCGAAGAAATCTGTGAAATACTCGACGAAATGGCGCTGATGTCAGATGAGTTGAAAAACCACGATGGAGCGTATTTTGGAGCGAATAAAGGCCGGGAATCAAGGAAGAGAAGACTCGTCAGAAGCCTCCAGCGATTCATGGTTACCGGAAAGACCTATCCTTGGGAAAACGATGAGTATTTCAAATTGATGCAAAAAAGCACGCGTGTCGTCACTGATGGCCATCCACTTCTGCGCGCTGCGAGAGATACAGAAGCTTTTTCGATACTGCCGAGTAAGGTGAAAGAAGTTCTGTCTGCGAATCGACAAAAAATGCTCTGCTCCTCACTGCCTGCTCCAATTTTTACAGAGCCGATCTTCCAACTCTACAATTCTTGCCATCCTGCTACTGCCGATGATTACGATGCGCATAAAACAACAATGAATTATCATTACGAACGGGAGGATCTTCCTGTAGTCTCGAACCTGCTTCTGAGCTATCTACGCAGGGAACTCGTGATCCTCGGTCTCGATGATGCTAAATATGCTCGATTCAAGCCAAAAATGCCCGTAGAATCAAGTTACGCAAAAGACGAAGAGTTCAATTTTCTCAATGGAGAAAAAGTCCCTACTCTTGACGTTCTCTTCAAAGCTTCAAGAGATCAAAAAGTTCGAGCATTTCTGGCCCTTTTTGACTCCGAGATACTAACCTACATCAACAAGGATTTCGACAAAATGCCTCCTTTCTGGGGCGTGTTTTTGGCCAGCCTGCGCTATCTCTGGGTCAATGCAGGTCTCAAGGAATGGGAACTGAATGCTTTCGTAGCGCAGTTTGCTCTTTGCGGACTTTTCACGGCGGCGGACAAGAATTTTTATCGGCTAAAGTGGCTTTTTGTCGGAGGGGATGGAGACTACCAATTCGACCTTCCTGCGTGCGAGCGAAGCATTACCCTTGCTAACCAGTTTGTTGCGGTGTATTATGCAGTCATGCGAGCTCAGGCAATAACAGGCACTCCTTTCTATTCTACGACCGAAGTGAAGCCGAATTTATTGGACATTTTTTCCGGTTCTCTTTTTGCCCTCCTCTACAACATGTTCAAGGAAGATCCTCGAATCTCTGAAGACAAAATGAATCTGCTAAAAAGAATCACTGATGATCAATGGTTTGGAATGCAAGACGAAGAAAATGCAGGCTCAGACCAAGTTTTCGAATGCTACAAAAATGCTGTTGAAAATTATTTCAACGTTATCGACTTTTATATTTCCCCAATGCGAAATTTCGACCACCGGGTTGCCAAAAAAGGGCTTCAGATGGCGCTGGAGGAAAATGCTTTTTGATTGATTTCAAGCCAAGGTATAAAAATCACTGGTAGGGTTAGGCTTCAAAAATTAAAATTATTAAATGATTTAGCTAAAACACACGACCCTCAAAGTTTCTTTTCTGACTTTTTCCTTGAAGATCTCTCGGCGCACAAAAACAAGTCGTGGCATTGGATAAAAACGGCTAACGGAAGATTGAAAATTTAAAACTATTGAAACTTCTGTACATAATTCAAAATCTTCAACCCTATCATCACAGCCAGGCTTCACATGATTCCCATCTCTCTCATAAATCTTCATCAACTCGACGTAGCTCTTACTGTAAGAGAAAATGTACAGCAGACAGATACTTGTTGATGCCACCGATAAAATAAAAAAATTTTGGAAAAACTTTGGCGACTTCATTTTTTCAATTTTATTTTTGAAAATTTGATTGACAGTGGCTCATTTCTCGCAATATTCAATGACTTTTAATTCACCGCACATTTTGGGTCTCAACGAGTCAAAACAAATAGTTTAAATGTCAAAAGAGAACAAAAATTTTATTATTTAATAAATTTTAATAAATAAAGAATTATTATGTTTGAAGAAACAATAACTTGTTAATACTCCTTCAAAAATTCTCGTATTATTTTTGCTCGTAATAAATAGTCTCTTTATTAAAATTTTGAACTTGAAGAGATATTGCAAATGTACACGTGTTTCCGTTTTGATTGATTTCTATGAGAATTCTTTTTCTATTTCTCCTCGATTCCGGTTAAATCGATGAAAATTTGTTCCAGAGTCGGCTGATCGACCGTGTAGCCCGCAATGACACCGGTATTTTTCGTAGCTTGAAGCTCTTTGAAGAGAGTAGATAGTTGGGCTCCAGATTCGGCGCGGAAGGAGATGAAAGACTAAAATTTATTTTGAAGAAATCTTAAATATATCGTCTTACCTGGTTGATTTCTTTCACTTCTAGGAATGGCATTCTGTTGTTGATTTCTTTCGAAACATTTTGAGAATTTCCTCCTTCAGGCAGCTGCACCTCAATTTCAACGCCTTTTCCGAACTTTGATTTGAGATGTTGTTGTCCTCCAATGCATCTAAAAAATCAACTGAATCGCTCTTTTTATTGAATTTTTTTTTACCTTAGTCGGCCATTGACCATAATAGCCAGTTCATCGCACAAAGCAGCAGTTTCTTCCATAGAATGGGAGGTGAGCAAAACAGAAGCACCAGTTTTCATGACGCTCAAAATGACACTCCACAATTGTCGTCTAGCACCAGGATCCAAGCCACATGAGGGCTCGTCCATAATTGTTACTCGGGGATAACCAGTCAGAGCAATGGCGACGGAGAGTTTTCGTTTGTTTCCGCCAGAATAGGTCGAAGATGGACGTTCCGCGTATTGCTTGATTCCCACAAGTTCGATCAGATTATTCACCATCTTAAAATCATTTGAAATTTTTTGAATGCATAAACAGAAATTACCTTTGGCAAAACTTTCTCAGGCACACCTCGCAATCGTCCGTATAAATAGAGAGTCTCTCGGCCAGTTAATTGCTGCAGAAGAGCATCAAATTGAGGGCAGTAACCAAACTCTCTGAGACTTCCGAAACGATCTTTTTGGATTTCCAAGCCGTTGATATAAGCATATCCTTTTGAAACAGTTTCTTCGCCAGTGAGCATTTTGAAACAAGAAGTTTTTCCAGCTCCATTTGGACCAAGAAGACCGAAACAGCTGTTTGGCTTGACGGTAAAGCTGACGCCCTTGACAGCTCTGAAACCGTCGTAGTTCTTTTCCAAACTGTCGACGACGAGAGAATGATCCTTGGTCAGGTCTTTTGCTCCCTTGTTCACTTTTTGAGCCATGGCGATGACGTCGCTGTCATCTTCGAATTGAATTTCAGCTTCTGGGTCATCCGTGGCATCAGGTTGATTGCAGCAGCAGGCGGCGCAGCACTGCTTGCAAAGATCTGTTGGGATGATTTTTTTGAAGAATCGACTGAGAGTTTTTGTGCCGCTCTCCCATTCGATCAAAGAAAGCAAGACAAAGTAGAGGATTATCAAGGCGATGGCAACAGCAAGATATTCTCCGATTCCGCCTTCTTCTATTGTCAAGACGTCTTTGACATAGACAAAACCAGCTTCCTCACAAGCTGTTCTAGTGATTTCGTTCTCTTCACAGGCTTTGTAGATGTTTCCATTGTAGTAAATAAGGAAGATTATTCGAGCAAAGCAGTATTGAGGAGCGATGGAAAAAAGTCGGTCGATTAGGTTAATTGTCCCTTCGCTTATGTCGTCCAAATCGCTCAAGATTGAGTAAGTGATGAAAGTGATGATTCCAAGTCCGAAATTGAGGAATCCGATGTAGTTGGACGCATTAGCTGGATTCGTGAACAAGAAACTCAGACAGTAGACGCAAGGGATGATGGCCAAAGAAGTGATGAATGTACCAAACCATAGGGCGAATGCAGCATCAGAGAATGCCTCAAGTCCTTCAAGAAACTGCGCACCAATGAGAAGAATTATAACGACTTTAATTGGTTTTTGACTTGGTTTTTGAAAAATGAGTGACTCAAAATAATTTTATTTTGAATTTATAAAGCAAGGTTATTCTTCACTAAGAATTTGTATAAACAAAAACCATTCCTAGAACATTTGGGAGAAGTGCATTCAAAATATCCCAGCAGTAATTCGCTAGCCAGGTCACCCAAAGAGGAGCGCCAGAACATTTTTGCATCACTTTCACGCCCTGTTCCCTCTCTTTGCACGGAAGCAGGGAGAACTGCGCGTACATGATCATCATTCCAATGATACAGTAGAAAGTGACGATGTATCCTTGCACTGCGAAACTTGTATCTTGGGAAACGGAAGTTCCCGAATCAGGCGGAAGTGGATGATTTTGAGCGTTGATGTTCAAGTTTTCATTTTGCTGCTTGAGGAGGATCAAACTCATGTAGTGCATCGCCATTCCAGGCGTGTGGTAAGCTTCGTTGTTGAAAAGAGCGATTTTGTTAGTGCTGTTCAGATGGAAGGCCATGAGGTACTCATTGTCGAATTTCGACTTCTCAACTCGTTGGATTTCAGCGATGTGATCGTCCCATTCGGAAAAATTTCCGTAGTGTTCTGAGAGGGTGGCTTCATCGATATTCGCGATTTTGTCACTATTTCCGTCGGGGAAGGTTCTGTCTAATCCTGTTTGGAAGCCATCGTTACTGACTATGACATTGGAGAAGCCGTTTGGTGTTTTGATTCCACCTTCGTAGGGAGTCAGAGAAAGATCAATAGGATCCTGTTCGCCGATAGTCGGAATAACTCCGATGATGATAACGGCCAAGGAGACGAAAAAGGCGGGGAAGAAGAGAGAAGTCAGAATCGTCTTGATATTTCGAAGAGAGTGGAACATGCATTTGATAAAAGATCCGCGGAATTGCTGGAATCGAAGCGCAGGGCCAGTCAATAGGTCGATCTTTTCAGTCATCGATTTGAGAATTTCTTCGTTATCCACTGCTGAAGTGACGGATTTCTTAGCCTGAAGATCTTCCTTCGTTTTTGTCATTTTCAAGAAAATCTCGTTCATTGTCGTCACCGAAACGCCAAAACTCGAGACGCCAAGGTTTTCGCTTGATTTCTCCAGAATTTCGAACAGCTCTGGGAACTTTTCGACGTCTTCAAATGGCAAAATAAAGTCGCATTCTTGTCCGTAAATTTTCTCGACATAGGCGCCAGAGCAGACGTTTCGGATAGTTTTGTCGAGTGTTGGGAAATCTGTCGATTCCGACATTGTCATTGTAAGATGATAACCTGTTCCGAGTTTTTCTTTCAAGAAAAGAACAGTTCCAGAGCATTTGACGCTTCCTCGAGCCATGATGATAATTCGATCGGCCAGTTGCTCGGCTTCGTCCATGTAATGAGTCGATAAAAGCATTGTATGGGTTCGTCGATATTTCTCCAAAATCTTCCAAAGCTCTCGTCTTGCTCTAACGTCAATTCCAGAGCTCGGTTCGTCAAGAATCAAATGTTTGGATCCACCACAAAGGGCGATTCCGATTGACAGTTTTCGTTTCATTCCACCAGAAAGCTTGCTTGAGTAGACCTTTTGCTTCTTGCCAAGTTGAATGTCTTGGACGAGTATTTTTGCTTCCTCTTGAGCTTGAGCGTTGGTGAAGCCCTTGATTTCAGCGAAGAAGATAAGATGTTCGTTCACAGTTAGCTCAGCAATAAGAATATCATGCTGAGGACAAAGACCCAGACTTGATCTAGCCGCCCATGGATTCGTTGTGATGTTGAAGCCACCCACTTCGCAGGACCCAGTGTCAGCCACGAGCATTCCGGACATCATGTTAATCGTTGTTGATTTTCCGGCACCATTTGGACCAAGTAAGACTGTAATCTCGTTTTCATACGCGTCAATGGAAAGATTATCCACCGCTCTGAAGGGCTTGTCTTTTCCTTTATCTTCGAATTCTTTGACCAGATTTCTTAATCTAAAGCCAGACTCTTTGCTTGTGCCAGCTGGTAGTTTCTGCTCAAGGGGATTTTCGCTTTCTGCTTCTTCTGCGGTAACCTGGTTTTTCTTTGATGGTCGCCAGTACGAAGGAAGACAGAAGAAATTCCACGGTTTCGGGATGCCCCACTGACCTGGTCGAATAGTATCGACGTAGAGGCCAAGCAAGAAGAAAAGCAGAGTGTCGAAAAGTAAAATACACATTTGCGTTCCGAGATTGAGAGGGTTTGTGCTTGAAAGAGGAGTGAAGAAGTTTTTGAATGTTGCTCCTTCTCCGGCTATTTCCCAATTTCCGACAGTTTCCAGACCAAGAGCCATGGCGACAGGAGGGAGAATCGAAGCCATAATCTTTGCACCGTATTTTGTCGCTGATCCGTTGATTTGCAAGAATCGATAAGGAATGAACATCAAAAAAGTAACACCACCAGTGGCCACGGAAGCAGATGTCGAAGTACTGAATAAGGCGCCCATAAAGAAACCAAGGGAAATGAGAGCCGTTCCGTATGAAAGAAGGAAGAGAAAGAAAACGAGCCCATCTGATGTCAAAAATACGGCGCCATTGTCGGTAAAGGGGACGAATAAAACGAAAGTGAAGGTGAAACAAGTGATGAGGAATTTGCCAAATGAGAAAATCCAAGTCGCGGACCAGAGTGTGTTTCTTTTCAATCCCATCATCAGCATGTATTCTTTGAGCCGGGTTTCTTTTTCAATAACGAGGGTTTTGGCGGTACCGGAAGACAGGTAAAGAGTAGTGATCAGGATGACGAAGGCAAGCTGACTTTGAAGAGCGAGCATGAGGTCATCTTCGGTGTATTCTGGATAAGGAAATCGTTTCATTTCGACAGGTCCGATTTCTGCGGAGTTCTTCACTTTGCTGAAAGCGTTGTTGACCAAATACTGCAAGTATAACAGCCCCTCGGCGCCATAATACGGTGAGCCGCCAGTAGCGTCCGATTTCGATCGAGGTCCAGCTGCCCTTTTCCTTTGAGGGTAAAGAAGGTCAGTGAGCCAACCACGCGCCGACGCGAACCCATCTGATGAGACTTCAGTTCTTGGAACTGCCGGCGGTCGGATTTTATAGTCGAGAGTATCAGGAACAGTGTCGCCATTAAAAGTGTCTTCGTTAAATGTAACTGCCATAAAGATTTGATCAGTGGATTCAGAGGTCTTGATGAAGGTTGAAAGGTCTTCTTCGGTAGCATATGCTGTTATGTTCCATGTTACGCGTTGAAATGTGCTAATGTAAGCAGCTTGATCTTCGGTTGTAGCATTTGTGAAATTAAAAAACTCGTTGGTTTCGGGACACATAAGAAAAGGTCGGACGATCACCTCGCCGGGATCATAATCTGGGTCGTAGGGAAGTCCAGTGATGTTAGGGTTAGGATGACCATTTACTCGAACAAATGAAATCTCCGCTAAAACCTGATCCATGATCTGTTTCGCTGAAAGTGTGTCTGGTGCATACGCAATTTCCATTTCGGGAATAGTTTGATTCGTTTCTTCATCGTAACGACAGAGGTTGATGACATTTCTTGGGCTGAGCTCGCGCGGATTGAAGGTATCCCAGGCAGTTATATTCGCGACAGGCGTCACATCACCATAAACACGTGCGACGATTAGGAGGGAACCAAAAAGGACTAAATAATTGAACTAATTGAAAAATTTCTGAAAAACTAATGAAAAAACATGTTTGAACGTACCTGGAAGAAATATTTCAAAGAATAGTGCCCAGGGATGCCTTATTTGTATCAACAGCGATTTCTTCAATAAAATGGCCAAGTGCCGAAATGAACTCGGTTTCTTCTCTTTGGCTTCCCCCATAGTTGGGCCTTCTCTTGACTGGAACGTGGTCTCGCTCGTTCCACCTGAGTCTCCTGAGAATAATTAAATTATAAATGACTCTAGAAGACCTGGTTTTTGCAGTTTATTTATTACTTTACTAGGTTCAGGCTGGAAAAAGTTATTCCTACAAAACGTAACATTACTCCTATGAATCGTAAAGTGGCTTTATTAAAGGTCGCAAACAAGTCTTTTAACGACTCAGAATAGCTCAAGCAGGGGTTAGACGGGTCCGCTGAAAAATTTAAACGAGATTAATATCTAATCAAATTCGCGCTGTAAACACGCCTTTTCTCGGTTTGCTGCACATTTTATGCGTCAAAGTCTTTCAAATTTTACAAGGATCTTAGTCATTCAACTATAAATTTGATGAATGAAATGATGATTATACCTTGTCGGTATTACCTTTTAAAATATATCTGCCACCTTTCTCTGGGTACAAGGTCATGCCCCCTCTTTTTATTCAAGAGAAATTTTAGCTAAACTTCGGGCCGTAAAAATAGAACAATGACATCATTCAGAGCCATTCATAAAAATGAGCGGTAATGGTGGAAAAGATGAGTGTTGAGAAGAAACTCTTTCTTTTTCTTTATTGTCTAATCTGGGGATTTGAAAGGCTGCTTTGACTTCCTCAAATTAACAAATCAAATTTACGTCGAAATCGAATTTTGTTTTTTAGAAACCATGGTAAAAATCAACTGTCGAATTAGAATATTCCAACTTACCTTCTTTGATAAAAAGTTCAACTGAATCGTTTTTACAATATTTTCTTATGTAACTTCATGTTCTAGAGATAATAAATTTTTCTCGGAATCAAAAAATTGTCAAAACCGTTGGTCAGGGTCATATGAAGCGTTCAAATTGTAAACTAAGTCTGAATTGAAAGTGAGCTAGCCTCGGGGAATAATAAACGGGGCAGTGAACTGTAAACGCTTGGGTTGCAATAAAGGAAGTTCCACCGCCCCTCACGTGATAATTTAGCAGTATTTTGGGCGACGAAAAACTGAAAAAACTGTATTAAGGGATCACCCCCCGATTTCCCGAATTTTGACCCGTATCTACTTTTTTCGGGCTTTTCATATGGGGTTGATAAGGAGCTCATTTGAAAGCTCGTTTCTTAAGGAACAAATTCTGGTAGAATCAGCTTCCTATGTCAACATTCGCTTAAACATTAGGAGCCGTCAAAGTGATTAAGGTTGACAAAAATGGCCATTTTAGGCCATTTTCAAATTGTATCTTCTTTTTTTAGGTCTTTTCAAGGGGTGATATTTTTTCTCAGTTCAAAAGATCAGACCCGAAACTATATATTCTGGTAGAATCAGCAATATCCGATGAGTGTAAAAAAATTTCTAGTTGTAAAACTTTTGAAGCCATTTTTGGCGATTTTTAGGTATTTTATTGCTCCCTAGCGCCAAATATGTTAATGTTAATCAATAATGTTAATCAGTACATTCTAAGCTTTCAACAGACCCCTTATTTGTCTCTGTTGGATAACATTGAAAAATCGAAAAAATTTACGATTTTCACGCTATTCATATGCATTTTCTCGAACTTTTGAGGGCAAAATTTCGGGGACTCATTTACGTTAAGGGGTACTGTAATATATCAAAATGATCCTCAGACGACGCGGAATCTATAAATAGGCCAAATAGACCCGTGCCAAAGTTTTGAAAAATCAGGGGGGGATCCCTTAAAATGGACATTTTTTCCTCGTTTTGGGTGACACTCGGAATCATAAACTTTGTGCGAAATTTAATTATAAACAGCATGTTTTTACAGTCAAAGTAGAGTCAAGCAGCGTTGCTTTTTTTACATATCATCGTGAGCGGGAACTAGCACCATTGCTCCAATAACATCCGCTTGATGCACCTTTTTCTTCTCAAAGATAATCGGATCAAGGTGACCAGCTTTCAATCTATCCAAATCGGGATCGTCACCTATTCTGATATAAGCTAGAGTGTCATTGTATGCTGGAACTCCGGTTGCGCGTTCTATCACTCCTCTCTGTGTATGTCCGCTGATTTCAATGACTTCAGTTGGTGATTGGGACTTTGCAATTGGATTTTCAGAATCGAAGCGTCTTTATTAGAGATTCAGATTTAATGCAGATCGATTATTCGCCAACTAATTTGAATCTCATCCCTTGAGGAAAGATACTTTAACTCAATAATCTTAATATCCCTCGATTGGGTCCCAATCGCGGCGTCAATCATATTTTTGTTTTTTTCTTCCTCTTCTGCCTTTTCTTTTTCTGGCCTCGGTTTGAATCGTGGAACAGTACGGCGGAGGCAAGGAATCCATTTGTGTGCTTTTGTGATTGTTTCTTGCCTTTCGCCTGCTTTTTTGAACGATTCCCAGAACAGCTTGTCTTGTTCTTTGTAGCGCAGACGTTCCACGATGAATTGGTCGATATTCTTTTTATTTTTCTCCGCTCGTTTTCTCGAGACTTTTTACGGCTCAGTATCGAAACTCAAAATATAGCTTTGAGACAAAGCCTTCAACTCAAGCCGTTCCTGGTTTTGTTTGATACATCAAACCGTCGAAAAATCCTAGTCTTTCGATAATACGGTACGTATTCTCGATGTCTTTTTCATTCACATTTGTGCCAATGGTTCGCTTGTTTCCAGCTCTGTCTCCACAGCAGATGGGGATGAAGTTTTCCCGGTCCATGAAATCCATGATAAATGGCCAACTAAATCTCTAGAAATCAAAATTACCGCTGCGCATGTTGATATTTCTTACAAGGAAGAGAAGAAAGCTGAAGATTGTCATCGCACCAAGAAGCGAAAAGCCATAATAGGTCGATTCCGTGACATTGAGACACTCGGTAGAAAACGGATTCGGAAGTGAGACTGTTTTGCCCTTTTCATCATTTTCAACGATTGAAGTGACACATTTATTTGACCGTGGCTTATACTTGGCGGTGTCGAAGGAGGCTCTAACTAATTCGGCGAAAGAATCGATCTCTTGCTTTGATCTGCCGTAACTCGTATTTCTAAATTCAAAGACTGGATCGCCCAACTCGTTTATTTCAACGATTCTTGTGGTCTTCGGGTTGTAAGCAGTGATTTCAATTTGACTAATGACTTTCAAGGACTCGATTATTGCCAGTTCCCATTTTAAAAAATCAACTAATCAAGTCCCTTTCCTACATTGAGCATCGTTTTAACTGTTGCCAGAATTTTCATCGTTGGAATAAAGACCAGAAAGGGAAAGATCGCAAGAAAACCCTGAAAAATTTGTCGTCTTCTGTATTTTCGCCTCTCTGAGCCAATTTTCCCTCTTCCCAAAGTTCCGATAAATGCTTTGAAATTCCTCGTTTGGGAAAACAACATCCCAAGAGCAAGAAAAACCGTCAGTAAGACATCAATATAAGCTTGAATAAAGTCGACAAAGTTTCTTTTTACCGATTCTGCTATCAAAATCGACTTTTCCTGAAATACGAATATCAAAATTCGGCGGTTTGAACCTCGTCATATAGAAATAAGTGACGAAAAGAAAGGGTATGTCAAGCAGTAGAGATTGAATAATCGTCAGGCACATCTGGAGAGGAAAAATGACATAAATTGGTGCACCTTTAGCTTCAAAAGACAAGGTGATAAACCAATTCAGGCAGAGAATGAAGAGACTGAAAAAAAGGAACGCTGAGAAAATAGTTTCGGACGAGAGAATCTGGGCGGTATAAAAGTCCGTCACTGTCAAAAAGAATGAGAAATAGTTTCAGCATTTAATCTAATCAAATAATTTGTGCAACATTAGCCAAGTTTATTTTCATCCCTTCTTGTTGCATATGAAATAGCGACATTCAATTTATTCCAGGACTGAAAGAGACCAAGACCTAACACTGCCGTCTTTAGCCACTTCCACCAACGAGGTAAAACTGAATACGTCTTGTATAAAGTAAGAATGCAAAAGAACATCAAGAACAGAATTAAACAGAGCAAAACATCTTTGAGACCATCAAATGTGTCTTTTGATTCAGGCTCTGTAAATTTGATTGCTTGGGCTTTGAAGCTTCTTGACTTCTCTGGCTCTTCGTTTCTGGGCGAAATAGAAGGGTCGAGTGAGAGCATTCTCTTTTTGATCCTGTCCTCATCACGAATGTAGCTGATATTGTTCTCTTTTATGTACTCATCCATCCATCCTTCAAGTTTTCTGATAGTATTTTCGAAGACATCCTTGAATGCTGTCGTTTCACTATCAGAATACAACGTCAGGACGATATCAGAGATCTGCCCTTGTCCAATTCTTTCTCTTGGAGGTCTTTTCTCATTTTCTGGCAGGTCACCTGACCCAGAGCCTTCATCTGACCCTGAGTCTTCATCTTTGTTCTCTTCACGTGATTTTGGTGATGGGTAAGGTTTTTCAATATATTCAGGATTTGCCTTTCTGAGTCCCGCGTATTCGATGTCATTGATTTTGAATCCATTAAATGCATCTCGAATTCCATCGGTAACTCTTTCAATGAAATATTTCATCAGATCTTTTTCTTCTGTCTTTATTCTGTCCTTCTCCAATTGGGTGAGATTGGCAATTTCCTCGTCGTAGTAAAAAATTTTCGAGTGCAGAATTGGCAAATTGACGTTTCTCAAATCTTGTCTTCCCCCAATTCCTGCTTCAGCTTTTTCTTCTGCTGCGAGACAGTCTTGCTTTGTTAAATACGCAAGAATAGTCACTTCTTTGGCCCTTACTAAAGCGCCTTCACCTTCACGGATACTGTCTTCGATCTCGTCATCAGTTCTTCTGTCTTTAAGGTAAATTAAAAACATTTTAAGTTTAGTTTTCATCCATTTTTCTCTGACATCGGTGAGTGTTATCACAAGATTGTCGTATTTTTCGTCAACATCTATTTTTAAAGAGTTGTTCAAATATGGTCTCAACTCAAAAACATCAGCTTCTTTGTCAATATTCGTGAATTTGAGAGGGATATTCGTTGTCACAACGTCGTTTTCTTCCAAGCAAAGATCCATCGTTATAGTATTTTCATTGTCTCCGGAGTCGATATTGTCCAAAATCTGGGCTTGATTTGTGTTTTGATTAATAAGGTTTTGAAGCGATAAAACAAGTGCTGATTGAGCACTTTCATCGCCGTAAAAACTATCAGAATCTTCTGGATTGATCCCTAAAGTTTGATCGTAAAAAATGCCATTGAATGCAGCAAAAGTTGTTTCATCCATCATCAGTTCCTGACCTTTCGATTGCATGTTTTCAAGGGCGATTAAATACGCTTTAGAGGCACACTGTCGCGTGCATTCTTGATAAAGATGAAGAAAAATATTGTGAGAAATTTTTTTCTATTTGGAATTTCTTCAACCTTTCCTAAGATCTGAGTATAAAATTCTCTTGCAAGTTTCGGCATCACCTCAGAACACGTGCTTTTACATTTTGAGGGACAACAGTGTGGATCGTCTTCTGTGAGTCCTGCTTTTTCCAGAAATTTCCATGCTTTAGTTCTGAAGCCGATAAAAATCATCTCTCGATAATTTTCTTCTTCGAATCTTGCGATGGTCCTGTCCAGATTAAGATCGTCAATAGCAGCGTTCCACATATCCATGAAAAAGAAGGCAGTCGGAGAGTCCTCAGGAAAGATGGCAAACTCGGGAATTTCGACAGCTAGCTTCGGATTCCAGTCGCAATTAGACTCGTATTTCTTTCTCGTCGCTTCGACAAAGCTCCCTAGCTTTTCATTCAAGCAAGATCGCATATCTTCTTCATTCAAATCCTTGAAAATCATGCAGCTTTCTGGGTCAGCGCCAGGATCATTATTTGGGAAAACGAGGATGAATTTATACGGCGCATATTGGAACTTTGTATAAATCGTATTCGCTGCTCTCTCAATGCTGCAATAAAAAGAACGCTTATTCTTTCTCTCGAATTTGATAAAAATTCTCCACAGATCATTCTCTTTAAAATTCTCTTGGACAATCGGATCTTGCGCTGAAATTATCTCTAAAAAAAGAAGAAACGTCGAAAAAAGCATTTTATTCGAGCCATAAGCTGATTTTTTTAGCACTTTCGCGCTTGATACTCGAGGTCTTTTCGCGGCATTGGTAATAAAAAAGAACATCAGCAGAAAAATCAGCATGCTGAGCTCATGTAAAGTTTTACGATTTTTTTTCAACAAAACATAAATCACTTGAGCCGGGCATGTTTCGAATTTTAATATAAGTATAAAACAAAAGTAGAAAAAAAATCAGCTTTTATCAAAGATCAATGCATTCACAGCTTTTAATAATCCACTTCGACTCTTCGCTCTGTCTTCTTTATGTATTTCTATTGCAGTCATTCTTCCCACTTTTTGAATGTCTATAACTGGGTCCATTTCGACTTCAAGTTCGGCAAGTATTTTGTTGAATGTTTTGATCTTTTTCTTATTTCTGGAATGTTTTATAAATTATATTAAATCAAATTAAATAAATTTATTATTTATTTTAAATTATTATTTAATGTTAAATGAAAAAAAAAATGCTCGTGGTGCCCGATGACGTCGATTGATTTGGATTTTGATTTCGATTTTGCTTGCCGATTTTCAGCGTCAAAACGTCTTTCAATGATGTAAAATTTGATTCTCCCAATTTGGGAGTCCCAAAACCTAAACCCTCACTCTAACCCTAACCCTCACCCTAACTTTATTTTGACCATTTCCTTTTTGCGACATATTCCGATGAAATCAAATAAAGATCATCTGTTCCGTTCGCCGTTTCTTTCACCTTCGTTTTTCTGAGCGTATCCCGCGGCTTTATCCTCGAAAATTGTCTTTCCGAAATTCCAGTTTTTCCAGCTTCAATAAAATTATTCCAGAAAATCTGCTCATTTTCTCCAAAAACTCGCGTTCGAACGCATCATCTTCTTCCTGTTTTCAAGAAGTTTCGATAATAAACAGAAAAATAATGAAAAAATTCATGTTTTAAATCTCGTTATTTTTTTATTTTTTCTTAACTTTGATGCGAAAATGGTCATGAAATAAACGCTGCTGTAAATTTTATGGCGCCAAGTTTAATCGCTGTGATATTTATTATGATAAAGCTAAACACTTTTTAAGCTGAAGGAATTTAATAATTAAGCCGGTAATATTGCAATTTTACCAAGTTTTCTGTTAAGCTTTGGGCCCGTTTCGATCTTTTGAACCACGTTTATTTGAATCTTTTTAAAAAATAAAACTTCATGAAAAAGTTTTTCATTGTGCGATGAACGGAATTCACCAAAAGAAGAAAATAAAAGCAGACACAAACAGAATTCCGGGTATAACGAAACAAATGACTCCAAGGCAGATGGAAATTTTTGCAGCGTTGATGAAATCATTATTACGATTAGAGTAATTGGGAGATCTTTTCCGATAGGCCGACTTCGCTCTGTTGTAGAGAATAATTGTGACGCCTCCAATAAACGGGCAGAGCATAAGTGCCAGAAACATGAAGACTTTTTCTCAAATAAGGTCGAGATTATAACAAAACTTAAACTCGTAAATCTTTCACTTATTCCTGGTGGCTTGTGTCGTTGAAGAAATTTGCGCTCTTTTCTTTCAAATTTAATCAAATGCAATTCCTCATTCTTTGTTCTCATTGCCTCATCGTAATTAGGAAGGGGATGCTCTTCAAAATTCCTATTTTCATAAGAAGGTGTTTCCTCCAAGCTTCTATACATTGCTCTCACGGTTAGAGTCTGGCCTACCTGATTTAGGGAAGATAGAGAGGAGACTCGAAAGAGTCTAATTATCTTATTAGAGTGTATTGTTTCAAAGGAATTTCGATGTTGCCATCAAGTTTAAAACTAAGTTCTGAATAATCATTAGGGCCTCGGTAGGCTATCAAGTGAAATATTTTTTACCATAAATCCAATTTTTCCTAACCATCTTCAGTGATGTAGAATAAACGGTTTAATTTCAACCAGGATTTTCACGAATTACCATTTAAATTTATAGTGAAACTGTTCACAGATAAAGTCAATTCGCATAAATTATGCGGCATAAATTATGCCGCATAATACTACTATTCTTCCACAAGATACCTCAATTGGTTCGAAGATTCAACCCTCGAGGCAGAGTTACGAAAAAGAGAATCCTTGCAAGCTTCATAAAATCGAGTGAATTTTTTTTAATGTCTGAGTATTCGGAAAGTTACGTTTCTTACGAGAAGGAAGATGTTTCGGCTTCAAAATTTTCTCAAGGAATATCGAAATCAGAGATGGAAATGGTGATTGAAGCCAAATTACAATTCTACAAAACGAAACTTGTTGATTTTGAACAAGAACAGTACCAATTAAAACAGAAAAACGAGCAATTAATTAAGCAAGTTGAAGATTTAGAGAACCAAAATGAAACTCAAAAACTGACAATTTCTTCATTTGAAGAAAAAATTGAAGTGATAACGATTGAGAGCGAAAAGAATAAAAAGACAATTAATGCATATGAAGAGAGATTTGAAAAATTGCAAAAGGCAATGCAATCAATTGAAAATATGGACAAAGAAAACAAGCGAGAAATGGATGTGCTGGACGAGCAAATTTTTCTTTTGAAGAAAGAAAAGTACGAGCAAGATCTCAAAAGAAGAGAAAAGAAAATTTGCTCGAGAATAGCCAATGGTTGTTTTGCATTTATTCTTCTTGCAGTGATAGTCACTCTTATTAAAGTCTTCTTTTTATAATAATAATAAATTTCTTACGGGTTTTATGACGTCAGTTGAAAGCAACTATTAATTCTACTGAGTTCGTTGCATAATTTTGAACTCTGATGGTATTTCAGTAGCATTTACGCTGTAAATACACTGTCATGGGCGGAGCAGAATCTTTTTCTGGGTTCATTTCTTTAAAATATCGATGAAAACTACTAAATTATCTTTGATTTTTAGAGTCAATGTGGTTTCAGCGTCTTTCTTCGAGGAAACTTGCCCGTAATATGCGATTTAATTTTGAGTATAAAAATTTTCTAGAGACCAAGATCTTGGAGACGCCTGCGAGACCCAGTGTCGACTTACTTTTCTAGCCTGTCGAGAGGGATGCTCTGATACTCTTTGTGAGTCTGAATGCTTGACTGTCTACTCTGGTAAGTTATCGGAATGAAAAAGCTGGCTTTGATTTCAGAATGCGTGAATTCATGTCCTTGTTTCGCTGACTGTCAAAACGGCTGTATCGATTGCGATCATCCTCTTTGTTACTGTAGAAATCCAGAAATATCGAATCCGAGCTACAAACAGTGTGTTCATGAAAACAGTCAAGAGCTGAAAAAATGCATTGATTCTTGTAAAGCCGAAAAGCCCTGCTTCAACGAGTGCTACGATGAATTCATGCGCAAAGTAGATCAGTGCCCATGTATGATGGATTGTCCAGACGGTTGTCCATGTACAAATGGCTATAATTGCGAACCATTCATTACTGTGCTCGGTCAGCGGAACACAGGGAATTTTAGCTATATAATCTCGAGCGATGGTCATTTCAAGGCAAGAAAAATATAACCAGACTTTAACAGACGTATATCTTTTCGGGTTGACTTCGTTAATAGATCATATGATTTTGTATCGAACGTTTTCGTTTATTGGATAAACTTCATCAGGATACTAAACTTAAGATGAACGAAAAAGAAACAGAGGAAAAAGAATACTTTTATGTTGAGAGAGCAGTGTGAAATTGCTAACTGAGGAAAACAGAAAAACAAGATCAAAAAATGGCTGTTTTTAGTCGAGCGCCAAGGTGGCCCAAAGGTGCTCTCTCAAGATAAAAGTATTCTTTTTCCTCTGTTTCTTTTTCGTTCATCTTAAGTTTAGTATCCTGATGAAGTTTATCCAATAAACGAAAACGTTCGATACAAAATCATATGATCTATTAACGAAGTCAACCCGAAAAGATATACATAAAGTAAAAATCTTGCTTTTGTTAATGCGTTTGATTATTATGATAAAATGAACAAAGAATTTCCACGATCAAAGTTCGTCAAAATTAAAAGTGACCCTACTTCAAAAGATATCGCAGATTTTAATGAAAGCATTAAAATCCTAAAACCGTATCTCTCATGTTCTACTTTCAAATCTATTCAATGTAATCATAAAGTTAAATCGAGCTTTGGATTATTAAAAGTTCATAAACCAGCTCCACATCCAGTACGCCCAATTATTGGTGCGCCTGGTAGCATTACTGCGAATATTGAAAAATACATCTACTCCATTCTTTCCAAAATTGTTCCTGAGCTTAAATTCTCTTGTTCTTCTACTAAAGAATTTAAAAGTGCATTTACTAAAATCTCACCTCAAATAACATCAGAACATTCTATTTGGAGTGCAGATGTCGTGTCAATGTATCCATCAATTGACAATGCTAAAGCTATTGACGTGATTATTGAAATTCTTTATAAAAATCCTCTTCGATATTTTAGCCCGGAAGATCTTCCAGATGGCACTATTAGTTATTTTCCCCCTAAAGATGTTTTTCGATCTATTCTTGTTTCAGTCTTACAAAAGTTTACTTCTTTTTCCACTCAAGAAGGCTACTATAAACAGAAATTCGGTTGCTCCATGGGCTCCAGACTTGCCCCTCTAGTAGCTAATATTTACATCTCTAGCCTGGAAACTGAATTTCTTACTACTGAAATTAAAAAGGGTAATATACTTTTCTGTAGGCGTTACGTCGACGACTACTGTCTTGTAACCAAAACTAGTGCCAAAAAACGAATTTTCAACTGTCTAAATAAGTTTGATCCGTCCATTAAAATGACCTGTGAAGATATGAAAGACAACTGTCTTCCTTATCTAGATACATGCATTAAACTTCATGACAATCAATATCACTTATTCTTTTACGAGAAAGCTAACAAAAGTGATATCCTTCAGAACTTTCGTACTGGAATCGCTCCTCTTAATCAGAAAATATCAACGCTTACAGGCGAAATTTATCGCAGAAATAATACAACATCATGTCCGTATGCGTTGAATATTGCTCTTGAACAATTGACTGATCGCTTTCTTAAGAACTCATACCCGTTTCACCTCATTAAACGTATAATCAATGAAATTAAAAACAATAATTTCGAGCCACTGAAACGTGATGATTCTAAAATTGTGAAAAAGTTCAACTTGTGCCTCGATTTTACTAGTGAAAGATGCTACTCTATTGGACTTAGTCTTCAAAAACTCTTCCGAAAAGTAACACCTTCTTTTGCCTAGTCGTTAGTTGGAAAACCATACGACTCGAAAGAGCCTTAGGCAAATTTCTCAAAAGAGTCCCTGAAAAATACGATTTGTGTGATCTCATTTATTCCTGGAAATGTGACTGTAAAGCGCAATACATTGGTCAGTCCAAACGAAGAGCTGGTATTCGTTGGACTGAACATGTTAATTCTAACAACCAGAATAAAAATGCGTCTTCTTCCATCTTCAAACATTTTTCCACTTGTAAGACCTTTCAAAAAAGCTATGAAACTTACATTAGTGAGCCAAGCACAAAAAATCTCACCAGTCAATACAAGACTAAAATCGCCCAATCGAAACTTGCTCTAGAGTCCTTTCACTCTAAAAATCCTCCGAAAATTCGATACAAATTTTCAAAAAATGACTATGCTTTAAAATACTTTGATGTTCTGCAAACTAATCTAACTAATGAGAGTCAAAGGAGAAGCGCTGAACAATTTCTTATTTTACTGCATCGACCCTCCCTTAATGAACAATCTGATTTCAAACAGTTCAAAACTTTTTGATTTAGTCGAGCACTGTTTTGGGCCACCTTGGCGCTCGACTAAAAACAGCCATTTTTTGATCTTGTTTTTCTGTTTTCCTCAGTTAGCAATTTCACACTGCTCTCTCAACATAAAAGTATTCTTTTTCCTCTGTTTCTTTTTCGTTCATCTTAAGTTTAGTATCCTGATGAAGTTTATCCAATAAACGAAAACGTTCGATACAAAATCATATGATCTTTTAACAGACGTATTCAAGGAAAATCGGTTATGGTCGATTCCAGACCCAATTTATTACGAGTCTCCGTCAAGTGATAAAGCGATCCCGTATTATTTGGGTGATATTGGAACGGGTTTTCTAAATGGGGAGATTTACCTTTTTGGTGGTGCTAATGACTGGAGAAAGGTGTATAATTATCATAATAGAATCAATAAATTTCACAGGGTTAAGATTGCTAAGATTATTGACTGTTCAGTACAAGAAATTTCTATAAGGCTCAATAATAATTTTGACTCATGGGTTGGCTCGTTGGTAACCGTACCTACTATTCCAAATGAAGTTTTGCTTTGTTTCGGAGAGGCGGGAACGGATGCACATCGAAGATGCGAAATTTTTAACGGGGTAGAGGCAAAAATGAACGCCTTTACCTTGAATAATCATCATCGGAATGGCTGCGTTGCATTAGATAACAACATGCCTACTGCTATTGGTGGAGGGACAAGCAACGACGAATTTCCAATGACCTCAACTGTTGAAGTTTGAGTTATAACTTATAAAAAATTAAAAGAGTCTAAGTCGAAATAGCTTTTTTACAACTCTTGCTAGTTCTTGGTATTAGTGGTTGGACGTATGAGCAGGCGCATCCAAAAAAGCTCATTAATCTTGGGTGCCTATCAGTTGACAATGGGATCATCACTATTGGAGGGGAAGAGCGCATCGACAATACCTGGGTGCAGACCAATCATATCTATCTTTTCCGCCAGAATTCTTGGTCTCTCGTCGGAAATTTACAAGAGGTTTCAAACAATTGTCTTTTATTGTGTGATTAAATTTTTCAGCCGACAAGAAGAACCTCAAACATCTTTTTCGGCTCATATTTTTTGTCATTCTCTGGAGCTTATGGGTGAGACTTTTATTTATTTTAATTTGTTATACTCTCAGAAATTCTGCAACTGAGCGAGCTGAGTGGAATGGAACTCACGTGACCTCGGCAAAAGTCATTAACCGAAATGATATTTACATGCCGGATGCAGTTATTTTTGAAACTTTGCCGGATCGCTGCGCAAATACTTGTGAAAGCTACTGCTTCCCTGTAGAATAAAAGAGTTCAGAAATAAAACATTTGATTTTGTTGACGTCATTGTAAAAATATTTTTTTAATTTTATTCCTGAGCTTTCAAGCTTATCTGCTCATTTTCAAAGAAAGGTTGACAGGCTACGATCTAACAATTTGCTTAGAAGTAGTGTAAGGCGGATTGAAACATTTTGAAATTTTCGCTTTATTGAACAAAGGAACTCATGTATCTAGTCAAAATCCAGATCATCGTAGCTGCTCAGAACACCTCGTGCATCTTGAAGAACTTTATCTTTGTACTCCAACTTTTTCTGAAACATGAAGGTCAATAAAAAAATGAAAATAAAGATCACAAACCGTGAATATGTATTTCTGGCGTTCAAATTCTTTTCTCTCAAGTTCTTGCGCGGCTTTCATTCGATTCATCTCCCGCATCCATTTTTCTTTCTCACGATGAAATACTTGCCTGATTAAATTATTAATTGAATGGCGAACTGGGCCTGTAATTTGAACATCAATTTTAAGTGCTTACCTTTCATTCGCTATTTCATTTTTCATCTCCATCATCGCCATTTCGAGGCCTTGCTTTTGCACTTGCAGATTTTTAACTTGATTTGTCATCAGTTCTACAATTCGTTGATTTTGAATAGCTCCCATGGGTCCGTTACTCGCTACTTCAGGCTCACTTGATTTTTGGTATGAAAATGTAAATTCTTATCGATTCGTACCTATGCAAAGAATAGTTCATCAGTGGTTCCTTGGGCAGGAAGGTTCTCTCTGGTCGCTGGCCAATTTTCATCTCAATTTTATTTTGACCCTTTACTACCGGTCCTCGTTGACCTGGGCTCGTCACCGTGTCTAAGGCCGGGTTTGACAGTGATCGTTGAGGCGATCTTGGAAAGTTTCTCGGCAACGTTGCGGATTGGCCGTACCCGTTCATCGTTATTGACGAGCTGGAACAAGTCGAGTTTGTTGGAGAACTCGGCGCGGAGACAACATCGCTCATGTTGTCAGTCGATTCTCGACGGGACATTCGAGTAACTGCAGATTTTGGGACATTGAGCTTCAACATTTGACCTTTTGTAACCAAGGGTCGGTCATTCTTGCTCTGCCCGAGGCCGCGGAGGTCAACTTGCTGACGGGTCGAAGAAGGACTGGCCAAGGACTCTTGTGAGGATCGACGCTGGTTGTATTTGTCGAAGAGGGACAGGGGATGTGGTTGTTGTTCACGTTGCTCTCGTTGTCGCAAGAGCTGAAAACATGATGAAAAGCGATTTTTAGAGGCGCTAAGTTACCTTTTGCTCCCGATTCTGTCTATCCTTCAAAATCCTCTCCATCGTCAGCTGCCGCTTCAAAGCCGGTGGTTCTTCCGGTTGATTTGGATTTTGAAGAAAATCAGCAAGATTGCCTCGATTCCTCATGTCAGCAATTTGAATCGCGCTCTTTCCGTATTTATTTTCAGTTTCTGCATCGGCACCGAGGTTCAGTAAAATTCTCATTTCGGGATTCTTTTTTTAGATTTTTTTTAAATCAGATGATCGAAAACACGGTTGAAAACAAGACTGTCTAATCCTAAATTGCGTCATTTTTCAACACTTGGAAAGTTAGGAGACGGATATTTATGATTTTCTTGTCTGTCGGAGTTCCGTTCTCTTCCTTGATTTCAAAAGCAAAAATGACCCCTTTCCTGGCGAGAATGACTCGGTCATTGTTAAAGTCGCCCTTGTCCCAGCCAGCATCGCCGCAGACCTTCAACAATCCTTCATTCAAAAGCACCTTGTCCAACTTCGCCAATGTCTTCTCTAGCGTATTTCCAAATCCAAGCGAAGTCATCGCCACCATGTTTCGCCAAAACTGGTCGGAGTCTGAGCCTCTGAATTTTCAATTCATTTTCAACCTGTCAACAGATGTTATTTTTGGTCCTACCGAACTAGCAACGATTCTAGCTGGTGCGGTCGATCTCTCAACGCAGCGGCGATGATGGATTTCACCATTTTTGAGCGACGAGCAGCTTGCCAGATTACTGAGATCAGCCGACCGCCAACGTGGCTAACAGTAGATGTAAGTTAGGGTTAGACTCGAGATGCTTGAAGAGAAGACCTATCGGTACATTGGAGATGCTTACTTGAGGACAGCTCCGTTTGAGATTAGCAATCGTAAAATGGCCACAATGGGTGGCCCGTGATTTTCAGACAGCGCCACTTGCAGCACTGAATTTCCCTAGAGAATATTCTAAAAACTTGCAGAAGCGAAAACTTCTGAACCTTCGAGTTGACATAATTGATATCAGCGCCGCGGGAGATCAAGTATTCCACAGCTGAAACACGTTGTTCTGGATTCTCACGGAAGTAGACCAGATGGCACAAGGGGGAGTCCCTCCAGCCAGAAGAAGATGGAAATCCATCGAGCTGGATCAGATCGGGGTTCTCGTGAAGCAATATCCTGGTCTGATTCATATCCGCAGTTCTTAAAGTTTCCATCCAAAATGAAATGAACTTATTATTCTTCCTTTTCGATTTGAAAATGGAAAAAAAATCCGAATCGATTTTTTAACCGAGTTTATTATTCAAAAAAATTCTAAGATTTTTTTCTTATCAGAAAGATCCCTTTTTTATTAATTTAGCTCGAAAAAATTTACCTCATTGCAACCATAAATTGTTCATCTTGTTCTGTAAACGGCCTTGGCTCGCCATATTGCTCTCTTATCATAATTTCTTGGCAAAATAAAAATCTAAATAAATTTCTGCCGTGTTGTCTCTGTTGCAGCGATTTGAAAGTGATAAGGTCAACTTGGCCGCTGCTCCGCGTCAGCCATCGTTAGCACCTCAAACGGGCCCATCCCAAGCCACATGCCTTCGAAATCCCCAGCTGATTTCAAAACGAAAACATGTGATTACTTTTGAAGACCTTTGGTAGAAATAACCATTTATCGATCAGACACAATGCTAAAATTTCCTCACAGCAGTTCACCATCTGGGCAGCGTAACTTCCTCAGTCTTCCTGCTCGTTATTGAAATTTCTTTCATTGATTCTGATACCATGAACTGACTTTTCTTAATCCCCAAGTCAGACAAGGCGGAATTTCGTACAGTCATGATGAACCATTGGAGCAATACAAATAAGGTGAATTAGGAGAATCACCTCTTTCTATTGAAAATATTATTATATATATATATATACATATTATATTATATTTATTATTAAAATATTATTATATATAATAATTTATGTATAATTGAATAAATGCTGATATTGAATTGGCGCGGTGGTTTTTATCTGAGGCTGAGATCTTGCTCTAACTTTATACAAATTCCGTGCGGTCTGCATTACAATGCGTTTTGGTTTTTGGCAACGCCCGGCCTAAACGGAGCTCGGCCTTTCCAATTTGAATCTCTCTGCAAGAATTTCTGATTTCCGCGATTGTGCGCCCAATCTGGCACGGGAAGACAATTCCAGCTAAGGATAACAGCATAACTAGCTTTTGGCTGACTTCAGGAAAGGGCAAATCCGATCGGCCATATTCCAGAGGTTTTATTCCGGATTCTGAATTTATTGCCTCGAATTATCAATTTTCAAATCAACGAAGACAAGAGCAAAATAACGGCGAATTTCAAAAATAGAAATCTGCTTACGAAAGACGTTCTACGGGAAAATCTGGGCTAACGTTTGTTTTGATTTGTTTTGTTTCTGCCGGATCAGACTGTTTTAGCAACAACGGCCACTTCCGATGAGCGATAAACCTCTCCACCCTTTTTCGTCTTAGCCTTGCTTTTTTTTCAGCCGCTAAATCAGAATCCACGAGGCAGATTTGTTCAATTTTTAGCATCTGATTTATTTACAGTTTTGTTTCTAGTCGTTTTCTTTTTGTGTTGTTTTCTTTTGAAGAAGGCGCACGGCGGATAGTATCAGATAAAATAAAGAAAATAGATAAATGAAGCAGAAAATGGGAGAAGGAAGAAATATTTTATCAACAATAATCTTCAGCCTTCGAATTTTAGACTGTGGTCGGTTTCCACGTGGCGTCGCAAGTCGACCTGAAGAATTTTTTAGTTAGAAAAAGGTTGGAAAGAGCTGAATTTTACCTTTCGCTGGAAAGTATTTGGGCAGATTCGGCAGGCAAAGGGAGCAATATTGTCGTGTTTTCGCATATGCGTTATGAGATTCGAGCTCTGGGAGAAGGATTTTCCACAGACACGGCACTTGTGCGGCTTTTCCCCTGAAAGAAATGGTTAGGAACAAATTTGGGGGAGAAGAAAATTGGAATGGGGCGGGCTGAGCAAATTGTTTCCAAAACAGGCGAAAATCAAAAACTTCATTGTACGTGTTGCGACTAGAATTTTACATTAAACAAAAAAGACGTTTCTATTTATGCAACAATGTTTACGATTTGACACCTACGGAGCCACAATCCCCGCCAAAAACATTAATTCCCCAAATAAACCCTTCAATCTCCCTCTCTCTCTCTTTCCTGAAGTCACTAGAACTACCTACGGCACTAGAAATTTATATAATTAGTATGGTTTGTTCAGCCTCCACGCCGGCGGTGTAAAAATATTTGCCGTTGTGGTGTAAATTAGTGGGGATCATAAATCGCCAAAAATTCGCAAATCCAGATTCAGTGGCACTCAAAAAAGTGCTAAAACCGAGCCCACAAAAATCTCAATTTACGTTTCTATTTAGCGCCGCCAAAACCGCACTCTAGGATTTTTTCTAGCGCCGATTTTTCTTCAGAAAACATTCTGCCAAAAAAGAAAATTGATAAAACAGGTTAAAATTACCAATTTTTTGGTAACTTTCTACAGAAAAAAGGCTAATTATTCCTGTCCCCCGTAAATTTTATGTTTTTATTCTTTAGTACAAAACTGGTTATTTGCCAAAAATTGATAAGAATACAAAACAAGGGTGTGCATTTTCGCGGGTGCGAAATCATCTGCGATTTGCAGATTTTGGACTTCAACAAATCCGAAATCCGATTTTTGTAAAATTAAAATCGCATTTTTCGTGCGCAGTCGGCGCGCAGCCCCACCTTGTCAAGAGATAAAGCGACATAAATACTAAATAGCCAATCACCCGCTGTGGAAGGTGATAATCGCCTGCCGTGATCGGATTTCGCCAGAGAGCGGGCTCGAGTACTCACTTCCTTTTTATCAACAGACCGCGCCTCTCTATATCTCCACTCGTATAAATACTTAAACTTCAAAACCTCTTCTATCAAAAAGCCAAAATCCGCAGCACGAAACGAAAAAAATCTAATTTGATAATCAATCTAACGAATTTCGTATCGCCCCTTTTTTTGATTATCTAAATATACAGCGCAGTATATTTTCAAAACAAAAGTTCCGAAAACGGGCGGTAGACATCACCAATCCCAGCTTTCAGGCTCACTTTTTTTAAAATTTTAAAGTGACACCCTTATTCTTTACGATGCCGTAAGACAAATTAAATCGAGAAGCCGACTGCGGCTTGGAGGTTTGAGAAGAGAAAGCCGCGCGAAGCGCGGCTTCATTCTCGTTTCTCGAAGCCGCAGGTGGCTTTTTGATTTCATTTGTCTCGCGCCCTCGTAAAGAATAAGGGTGTCGCGAATCGCGATGCAAATAAAAAGATAAAAATTATCTTGAAAATAAGGTTAACCCTTCCGATCGCGTCGAATTTCGCGATTTTGCGATTTGGCGAAGAAATGGAACTAAATTTAATTTATTTCCAGAACGGAAATGTAGGAAAATGGTTAATCTGAAAAGCAATTTCCGGATGGGACAAGTGATTGTTGCGGGCGCGCCATCGGGGCGACGAAATCTTGTCTCGAAGGGATTTTCCCAAAAATCGCCACAGCTGGATTAACCGACCGCCCGAGCCGACCACAACAACTGATTCGTATATCCACCCGCTCAGTAGGACCTTCCTCCGGCTTCAGATTACATTTTCAAAAACCATTTTTCGAAAACATTTGAAAAAGCGGCAAAACAACAGGTGTCGGCATATCAGAGCAGTTTGTCAAATTTCGCCTTTCTTTCAAAATTAATTAATTTAATTCAATCTGGCGAAAATATAATATTTTGAGTCTCACTCTTGTCGCGTGTGATTTTGGGGAAAACACGGAGCGCCATTTTGATTTAATCATTGTTGCTTGATTTCAAAAGACAATCGAAATTGCTTTCAATAGAGGAGAAAAGGGAAGAACGTGGTGGTACCTGTGTGGGTGTAGGTATGCTTCTTCATGTCTGATTTTTGGTGGAATCGTTTGCCGCAGAATTTGCACGGAAATGGCCTGAAATATAGCTAAATAAGCAAAATCACTAGAAATTTTTCCTAAATTTGACTTCGAATAATAAATCAACGAAGACGCGCGAAGCGCGGCTTCTTTCCAATTGGAACTCGAAGCCGCAAGCGGCTTCTCGATTTAATCAGTCTTTTAAAGATTGAATATTAAAATAGATTGCAGCATTTTAGGCTGAAAAAAGCCGCGCTTCGCGCGTCTTAGCTTATTTTTTTACTCGAAGCCGCAAGCGGCTTCTCGACTTGAATAAAAAATCTTATTCTTGTGGTTTACCGTGTATCTGTGTGAATCAGAAGATGAGTGGACAGAGTAGAGCTCCGCTTGAATTGTTTGTTGCAAATATGGCACTGGAATATTTTGAGCCCATTGTGTCTTGAAACCGAGGGTTGATGAACTCCAAGTTCGATCTGCGAAGTGCGTATTTGAGGCGTTATTCCGTGCACCCGACGAGAGTGAATCTGAATTCAAAAAGTCAAGAATTGGCATCATTTCTTTACGAAAATCGCAAGGAAGATAATCGTCAAAATGGGATTGATGGCGGCGCAGAGGATTTTGCGAAAAAAGTGGCCCACTGCGCTAATGTGTTATACACACAGCCCGCTCTGGGCGCAAATTGGATTCGTAAATTTAAATCCAAACGCCAAAAAAATCGAAACAAGCGAGGGATCTTCTGTGATCCAAAAACAAATCGAAAGAGTTCGCGAAAAATCTTGAATACCGGACGGTACACCCTTAAAATCTAATTGTGGCTTTTTCAGTAATAATCAAAGTTTGTGGTCGATTTTTATTAAAAAAAGGGGGAAAATCGTTCAACACGTTATGAAAAAAATTCCTGAAAACAAGAATATTTGAAAACAAGATTCCTGCGGGGATTATCTCATCCCACTTTCTCTTTTTATCCGGAATGAGGCAAAAGCGGCGCCGCGGAGCCTGATTTATCAAATCACCGCTGAGAATCTGTGCTAGGTGGCGCTTCGAGCCGTGATTTCTCGCGCGCTGATTCGCCGACGCGCGCCAGAGTACGAGATTAAAAAATTTAAAGCGGAATTTCGAAAAATTCCAGCGCGTGTCAGATCAGCCCGGCTATAGATAACCTCAAGTTGGCAATATCTTCTGGATCGGATTAGGCTTGCTACAGATTTGACACAGCATATCACGTGATTTAGAGGGGCCTTATCAGATTTATTCCCGACTGAGAAGTTACGAGACTTTTCGAGCCAAAAATACACAATCAGCTAAACAATTTTTTACTCAAGTCTTTTACGGTCACTTAAAAATAGAAAAATGCTGCATTTTTCATTTTTAAAACTTTAGTTTTTAGCTGAGATTCGATTTAGAAAGGCGTTAAAAAGCCGCTTGGATTGGTAAGTCGACAGCTCGGTGTGTGCGCGAGTCAGTGTTACAAGCGGAATTACACGCGCATTTGTGATTTGTAACATTACGCGGATTATATAAGGGTTTAACTCACCTCTAACCCGTGAGAGGTGGTGAAGATTTTTTGGCAGACGGGACAGGAGAACATCGGCTGCGGCTGGGACAGATCCTGGGCAATCGTTGTCACGCCGCCGAGAGTTGGGCCAAGGGAAAGAGTCGGTGTTGCTGGATTGCTACTCGAGCACGTCATTGAGCTCGAACAGGGCGTGGAGCATCCGGGCTGAAGAGGGAGAGGAGGTGGGGAAGACGCCGACTCCGCTTTCTCTAAAACGGAAATATAATGATAAATATAAATTCGGCTCGAGAAAAAATGCTTTGATTATTTTCTGGCGGAAGATGACGCCCCCGCGGCGGATTTTGGACGCTCGCAGCCGGGGGAAATGACGAAAATAAACGATTTTATAATAAGTACTCTAAATTTTTGGCTATTCTTGCCGAATCGAGGTTTTTTATTACTGGTCGACTTATAGTATCGGCCACGCAGTGGCCGATTTCTCTAGAAAATCTTCGAATCCGACCCTTTTTCTTAACCCAGTCGCGTAATTTAGGCCTTTTTCTACCACCAGCAGGTTAAGATTTTTTCGAGTCAAAAAGAAGTTAAAAAGAAAAGACTTACGAGTGATTTCTGACGGACTAGCTGGAGCATTAGAAATGATCGGACTTGTCGAATCGCTGAGGGAGGCATTTCGGGCTTGCGATTGAAGTTTGGCCAAGAGAATGGACTGTAAGTTTAAGCGGGACGGCTCTGAAGTGATCGGCGAGCTGCGATTCGACTATCACAAGGGTCCACAAGAGTGCGCGTGCGAGTTAATCTCTTTCAAATTGGTATGATTTTTCGCTTGCTTGGACCTTTTCCTTTGGATCGACGGAGATGGAGCTTTTTGGCGAGTCGAGATCTCCTGTTGAATCGGAGGAGGATGGCTTCGGCTCTGATTTGACTTGAGTTGCGGGTGGATGCGCGGAAGGAAGGAGAGCCGATTGATAAGAACTTTGAAGGCGCTGGATCAGGGCGTTGTTCACAATGCTCGTTTGGTTCAAGAGATTCAACGCGTTTGGCTCTAGAAAGACGGCGATTATGATTGCAAATATGTCACGACTTACGATTCGCAGAAGCAGTTCTTTGAAGAATTTCTCGTCTCGCCATGATTTGCGCCTCCACCTGAAGCTGATGAAGTTGAGCTGCTTGTACTTGAGCCTGAGCCTGCGCCTGAATTCTCGCTGCCAGAAGAGGAAGAGCTCCGGGGAGCATTCCGGGAAGTGATCCCATCAGAGTGGGAATCGGAAGTGACGTTATCGGGGCTTGTTTGAGAGCTAGAAATGTTGAATTTATTTTTAATCGATTTTGCTTATTATCTTGAGTGAAAGTTTAAGTTTATCTCAGTCAGTCGTTTTAGTCTCTTTAGTCTGGATTTATGTTTGTTTATCTCAATTTTATTTTTCTATCAGAGGAAAAAAGCGGAAAAGCATAAAGTGGTCGGATAAGCGCGCCGGATAACACCCACCACAAACAACTTCTCAACCTTCTTCCGCCACGCGAAAGACTCCCCAGCTGGTTGCCTCAATTTCAGGCAAAAATGATCAAGGGGATTAGTTCAAATTTGGAAATCTGAAATTCAAGACTTAGAAATGAATGAAATTATAAAGAAAAATTATAGGAATTAATTTTTCCAGGAATAGAAACTTATTTGGGCTGAATGAGATAAAGGAAATTCGATTAACGACTCATACAGGATGAAAATTATAGACAGTAAGGACGTGCTCACCTTCGACAGTAAGCTCCGAAACGGAGCTTGCACCAGAAATGGAGTCACCAACAGATGTGGGCCTTTTAAGTCCGTCAGACATCTCAAACGGACGCCAAATGCTCGAGCTCGCTAGAACATACTTGATTCATATGTCCATGCATTTCACTATCATCACCATATCTCGCTCTAACCTCTTTTGGCCTGATGACCAGAAATTTGGCGAAAAAAGCGTTTGTTTGCATTTTTTGCCAAATTTCTGGTCATCAAGCCAGGACGGGTTAAGCAGAAGGAACACCAAAACAAAAGCATTTTTTATAAAATCAAAATTTTCAACCCCAAAGTTTTCAGTCTAAATTCTAGTCAAAATAAGTCTGTCTATTATCGCTAATTTGTATGGGCTCATCACGACGCACCTGGACGCTTACAGTCGCCAAAACATTGCTCGACAAGTCATTTTTGCCTTCGCGAAAAAAAAAAAAATCAGAAACGACAAATTGACCGCCAAACCACTGTTGTTTAGAGTTTAAGTTTTTACGCGAATTTAATCGTGTAAGGCGCGCCTGGACTAATTAGAGCTTGTTACGAACTTAGCTTTTTTTTCGAGGTTCGAAAATTTGGAATTGAATAGTTGTTGATTTCATAATTTTTAAGAGTGTATTCAAAACAAAAATCATAATTTGATTTCATGGGATTTAAATTTAATGGTCTCCCAATCGATTAAGATCAGTTATTGAGATAGAAGTTTTAACTGTAAGTTAGGGTTAGGGTTTGGAAAAGGAGAGATATCTAAGTAAATTTTCTAGCCTTATCCACATTCTAACCCTCAATACCCTTCTTTTATTTGAAAAACTAGGAGTGATAAGTCAATTTTTATCGTAAATTCATCATTTTTCGCTTGGGAAGCCCTTAGAAAATCCAAGTTTTCTTCGCCAAATAAGAACATTGAACACCAAACACCACGAAAACACAGAAAATCTCAACTGTACCTGGTAAAGCTGGACTGTGAAAGTTCTGATAAGGCATCGGAATCACAGCAGGAGGTTTAGGAACTCCAGGGATTTGAGAGTGCAGGAGATCGTTTTTGATGATTTGCTCGGTCATCTGATGACTTCTAGGAAATCTCTTGAGTTAGGGTTTGTTGGTTATTTCTATTTTGAGTTGTATTTTATTGAATTAAAATCTGGTCGTGATTAAATCGTAAAATTGATTTCAGTGGATGAGCAAGCAAGCGGACTTGGTGCTACGCCGCGCTCGCTCGCTCGCTCGGTGGAGAGGGCGCGCGACCGCGCGATGGCGCAGTCCCGAGCCCCAATAAGCGCACATGGAACTGATAATAATGGCTTAATTTTGCTTAAATCCAATAGAAATCGTCATTACAAGGAATGTTTCGAAAGCAAGCAAGAACTGAGAAATGTTCTTTTTTGACTATTTCTCCGTAGAGTTCCCATTAGTTTCAATAAGCCCAGAAAACAGGCCGTTTTAGTAAAAAAAAACCATCATTTTGAGCTTAGTTTCTTGGTAAAATTTATAATTTTCAATAATAAAAAGCGGTTAAATTAAAAATATTCATAAAAGTCGCCTAATTTTTGAGTTTTCTTTGCTCTTTCTAGCCTTTGATTGTTGTAAATGTACAGAATATTGACAAAATCGAACAGTTTACGAGTTCTTGAAAGAAAAGAATCAATTTATGAGTCAGAAATTTTGAATTAAATTTCCGATAAAGCAAGAAAACTAAAAGAAACTCGAAAATTTTGCGGATGTTGATGGCTAATCAACATGGCTAATTTCATTAATACGTTTGATGAGCTCGAGGCTTAAACCTGCTTCAATCCAGCAGAATGGAAATGGCTTGTCTTTTAGCGGATTTGAGCCGATATTCATCGCTCTGAAGGGGGTTGAGGATCTTCAGCTGGAATTTAAAGGAAATGGAGCTTTGTTTTGAATAAAAGATTGGAAGAAACTTTAGTTTTTACTGCACTTATTGCTGATAAGAGCCGATTCTTGGGAAACTACGTCTTTGCAAGGCCCATTTTACGCGAATATCTACAGAAAAGAGGGAATTTAAGACCATGGTAAGAGAAGCAAAAAGTTTCTCCAACTACAGTTTCTCCTGAAAAGCAAAGAAAAGAGCAGGTGAAATTCCACATCGGAAAGTTTCATTCAGATTACCCCAAATCCCTGCTATCGCTTGCTGAAACAACTCGCGTGCCCAAATCAGTGCCCGTGAGAGTGTGCCCAAATCCCCTCACTCGCTCAACATTCAATATTGTCGTTCTCAAGCTAATCTCTTAAATTCTCAGAGCTCTCTAATTCATCACTAAATCACTCACTTTCGGATTCGATTTTCCAAAATTGCATCAATTGAAAAACCCAAAAACATTTTTTCAAATTAAATAAAAAACGTAAAAACCGAGATTTGTAATCGTTGCACTTTTTTGATCTAGAGCAAATCTCATTAATGTTATTACTGTCTATCAGTCAGAAAGTAACTTGAATCTCCTTACCTAGAAAAGATTTTGCTCTTTTTTGAAAAAAAAAAATGTTTGAATTTTCCGAGGGCTCTCCTGTTTGTATCTGAATTTCTTTTTTGATTGAAATTCTTTTTCTGGTGGAGATTTTAATATCAACTCCAAGCTGCAGTTTTTGTGTGGGACGGAGACATCTGGGGAAAAAGAGCGCCGGGAATGGTGATTTCCGTCACGAGCGCCACGGAGTTACTAAACTTATCTTTTTTTTTACGAAAAACAGAATGTTTAATTTAGTCAATAAAAAGCAACTCTGGTTGATGAAATTAATCCTGGAATTTTCCACAAAGGATCAAACCGCGAGAACTCTCCTTCATTCAGTATGAATCATCCTTGATGGAGCAAAAGTCCGGTTTTCAACTTTCCAAGGATTGAAACTTTTGATTTTCGAGCGTTGAAATCTGCCCGTTTTCCGCCGTAATGACGACAATTCAACGCAACTCAAGTCTTCTTCTCAAATCAAGCTCGAGTGGAAAAGCAAGTCAGGCAGATGTGGAATTGTTGGCGAAGGCCTCGAGAAAATAAGCGTAAATACGAAACAGATTCGAATCTTCTCAATCGTAAGGAGCCGCCATATGTTCGTATTCGCGTATGGATTGTTTGAAAAGCAAATTGGGAAGTTGACTTTGGAAAAGAAACGGCAGATTTTCTAACGGAAGACAGAAAAGATGACCACTTATCTCTATGCATCGAAACAGACTTTTTTCTGAATAGCAACTTTCTATAAGGGGCCGCAATTGTCTACTTACTGACCTTGGAAAGTTGGACCCAAGATTGACCATCATCAAAAAAGCTCAGATTGGTCAGGAGCGCGTTATGATGATGTTTGGTCCAGGATTCCAATTTTCAGTTGTCCGCTCAGCCGCTCGCTCAGCTCAATGATTTTTTGAGGGAAATTGGGACCCTGGTTTGGCCAAGATTCAAGAGATCATGAATTTCGATTTTATTTAACTCAGTGACACCCTTATTCTATTTGACAGAAGCCCTAATCCTAACCCTAAACCCAACCCTAAGCCAATCAAATCGGAAAGCATTGAAAAATCATACAGTGTTTTCAAAAAAAAGGTGAAATCAAGATTGATTGTAAAATTCAAAAGAAAACTTTCAAAGTTAAAAGCACCAAAACAGAGTTTAAGTATTTATATGATTAGTTGTTGCCTTTTTCTCCCAGGTAAAAGTGAACATGCAAGGTCAACAAATAAAGCGCTCGTGATATCAATATAGCGCGGCGGATGATCCGCTGCTCAAAGGGATAACAGCTGTAAACAAAGGCTCCTTTGATCCTTCTCGACTGAGCGGTCGGGAGCTGCGCAGCTGTGAGCGCTGTTTTCCGGGATCAAAATTTTTTAACTTGGACTTCTTGGATCTGGGATGGACGCAAGGCAAATCCCCTTCTACTCCGATGTAGTGTAAATAGGACGCTCTGTATTGTGTTTGATGACCTGGGCGGGAGATAACGCCCAGCCCACTCCGGAAAGCTGCTTGAATCCGCGCTAACACCGGAAACCCACTCTTCCAACGCATATTGCTAATTATATACAATGACCGAATTACTTTTTTTATTCGCAAAGAAAAGAGATTCAAAAGATGCCATTTTAAATTTTTTCTTCGATCATTTTTCCTTCGAAATATACATTTTCATTAATTTTAGCAGCTTCTTGATTAATAAGACATAAGAAATGGAAACAGAAAAAGCGAATAGACACTAATTTGATAACACATGTACATGCCAAAAGACGCGAAATCAGGCACTGTTATGAAATCAAGCTCGTCTCAGATGTTGTTTTGCGAACTCAATAAAACCGCCTCGTCTTTCCACCAGATCAAGTCTATTTTTGATCAATCTTTACCTTTTTCGTGGGTTCTTGACAGTTACCCTCTAAGCTTTTGCTTTTTAGAGCCATTTCAGAACCAAGTTTTAATCGAAAAAAGTACAAATAACAGCTTTCGTTTGTCAATTTTTATTAGAAAGGTATTTTCCGTGGAAAGAGTTCGTCAACCCTGAGAATGATCCAAAAGGATACAGGAAGATACGGCCCGGGTGTCCGGCCTCCACAGCTGGGCACACATTTAGCTTAGGCTTGTACTAAATAACGAATAAATATCTACTCATCCGCTGCTCACTTGCTCGACTTGGGCAACTCGTCAAATACGCCCGAGCAGCGCACCTGTCGCTATTTGCCAAACATCATAAGAGCCTATTCTTTTTATTAAAAAATTGACACTTTTTTTCGAAAAAATTCTTATCGGGAAATTTCGACAAGCCAAAGATTCATAAAGTTTTTCTCAAATATTAAAAGATTTTCACTTTCTTTTTCGATTGTAGATTTCAACAGAAATGAGCTCCCGGATGAAATCAACAAGGAAAACATCGAACAAGAGTCCAACTAATTTACTTCCCCAAGAACAATTTTTTTGGAATTTGCGATTACATGTTTTACCTTCAGCCTTTTTTCTACCTAAGATGAGACTCGTTACATTTAAATCGATTGTTATTGTATAACAAAACTATTGTTTAACGCAGGTGTGCAACGACAAGCGTTAAATGTGTAAACATTCTCTACTGAACGATTGCAAAATCTTGCTTCAGAAAAAGGCACTTTAACATGAAAGAACTACCAGGTATTACCAAGGTAATTTCTATTTTGTTTTATTTATTTTCTTTTGCTGGGTCTCCGGGCCAGGAGCAAGGTATAAGTGCTAACCAAGTAAATCCGAAAGCACTTGACAGAAAAACTGTCCGTCGGCAATGTCAGCCTCTTTCAGAGCTTTCTTTTTTTAAAAAGTCACTGATTTTAACCTCTGCGCTGGGTTCATTTCTGAATCTCAGATTTGCGCTTCGTGCCTTTGCAGTTCAAGAGAAGCCTCAAGACTCTCTGAGAACTCCTGATTGATAAGAGCGTTTATGAACTGCTAAGATCCGCGTTATTCCATGTTATCTTCAGTATGAATTCTGAATTCCTTGCCGAGTTTTCTCGCGGGTAAAAATGTAGTTCATAAACATGCTGATTCGGTTCTTTTTCCTTCGGCAAAACTAGATAGCACCAGATGCATAAAGTGGATTAAGGAAGCGGCCCTAGGCATTTTACGCCGTCCGATTCTGACAGCGGCGTGAAAAGAGAGCATTGAAAAAATAGAGAAAAATAAACCAGCTCATCATATCCGATTCATAACAAAGAAAAATTCAAAACAATTTATGATTAAAATCAACTAGGATTTTTTTTGTTAGATTTCATCTTTCTCGTGCTTGTTTTTTCATAATGAAAACAACTTGAAAACAATTTGTTTTACGAGCTTTTTCAAGTTATTCATTGTTTGTTTCAGATTTTTGAATTTGAAAATGTCGGACAGAGAAAGACTAATTAACGAAGACGACCAAGAAAGAATCAGAGAAAGCCCGGAATTAGAAGATGAGTTGGAGACAGAATCGCAGACACGGACTTTTACGGACACGGGAATGGAGACAGAAACAAGGCTGGAGAGAACTTTGGGCTTGTTTGATGCAGTAGGTAAGTTTAATCAGAGAAAATGATAGTTGAAAGGCTGTGTTTCTATCAATTTAAATTTCAGGAATCGGTGTGGGAATCATGCTCGGTTCTGGAATCTTCGTTAGTCCGGGCGGTGTCATGGCCAATGCTGGCAGTTTCGGCTCCTCGATCATCATTTGGGTTTTATGCGGCGTGTTTTCGTTGCTCGGTGGCTTGTGCTACGCGGAGCTGGGGACTTTGATTCCGGAATCGGGTGGTGACTACACTTACTGCAACAGAATATTTCCGGATATTATCGGCTTTCTTCGACTGTGGGTTGAAGTTATCATTATTCGACCTGGCTGTCATGCTGCAGTGGCTGTCACATTCGCTGTTCATATCTTACAAGTAGCTCCTCATACAGTCATCTTTCTATAAACTGATCTTTCAGCCCTTCTTTCCTGGACAGAGCGTTCCAAGTACACCGAAAAAGCTCATCGCAGCCGCTTGCATCACTTTATTTTCCTGGTTGAACATGTATTCTATCAGAGGATCAACAATGGTCAATTCCTACACAGCTTTTGCAAAGACGATAAGTTTAATTCTCATCATCGGCGTTGGAATCATGAAGGCAGCACAAGGGGAAATTTACAATTTCATGCCCGAGGAGTTTTGGAAGTAAGAAATACAACCGAAAGCTTGAAAATAACATTTTCAGGGACTCAACAACGGATTTTCCAAAGCTCTGTCTGGCGTGTTACAGTGGTCTGTGGTCATTTGCTGGTTGGACGGATATTGTTCTTGTGACGGAAGAAATTCAAAACCCAGGAAAAAATGTTCCGCTATCAATTATCATCAGCTGCACTCTGATTATTGGGCTGTATTGCTTGGTTAACTTAGCCTACTTCACCGTCCTGACGGTTAGTTAGAGTCAGCTTCGTTTTCGTAAAGAAATTCTAGAGAACAGAAGCATCAGCTATTGCAACAGCTCAAGTTTTCATCGAAAAAGCTCTGCCTACTTTACCCGGGCATCAGTACATCATCCCCGTTCTCGTCTCTCTCGCCTGCTTCGGCGGCGTCAATGGATCATTGTTCGCTTCCGGAAGATACTACTTCGTCGCTGGCCGTAATAATCACATGCCACCGATTCTGTCGATGGTTCAAATCCATCGAAACACACCTTCAGTGGCTTGTTTTCTGAATGGTCTTCTTTCGACCGCGATGTTGTTCAATGATGATATTTACTCGTTGATCAACTACACTAATTTTATTTATTTTGTCTGGTAAGCAAACCTTCTTCAGGGTCAGTTTTCAACCTTTTTTAAGCATTATTCTTGCGATAAGCGGGCTTGCCTATTTAAAAATCACCGGCCAAGCGACCGGATCGACCGTCAAAGTTCCTCTGCCAATCCTCATCCTGACATTGATCATGTTCTCCGGCGTTGTTTTGGGAGCGATGGTCCTTACGCCTTACGAAACCCTTGGTGGGTGCATCCTGACTCTTACCGGACTCCCGGTGTATTTCATTTTTGTCCGACCGCGAGGCAAACTTCTTGAGTGGAGGGAGAAGATTGAGCCGCAATATGAAAAGTTCTCGAGATTCGTGCAGAAGCTCATGGTCGTAGTACCTGAAACTAAAGAAGAATGAAACTTTTTAAATGTACTTTTACTTCAATGAAAAAGCAGTCCAATAAAATTCATATTACAAATCGACCAAAAAAGCACGTTAAAGTCATTAAGCAGATCTTATCATCACGGAAGAACTTCGAAGTTTGGCTTTCTTGGGAACTTGTTCTGAATCAAAATAAATTGCATCAAGCATATTTTATCTTTTTTTCTTTATTTATTTTAGCAAGAAAAGTAACGCTATGTCAATTTCTTTTTTTCAATTCTTTTTCGAGGCACTGCATCGCAAAATCATCGGTAGAATCAAACTTGTTCGCAAATAGATGTGGCTGCTTCAATAGCTAAAATTTTTCTCATTTGACGAAAGTTATTCTTTTTCGCTTACCCAGCCTAAATCGCCACTTCCAAAGACGCACACACCTCGGCGAAGATGACCTTGGCATTTATGTATTGTGTCTGTAAGCCATATTGATATCCGGGAGAGGTTTTCTATGCCATTCTAAATTAATGTTATTCGAATAATTTTTCATCAAAACGAAATTATTCTCGTCGTTTCAAAACGTACCTCGTAATAAAAGTTATTTCCAGGAGCATTCTTATTCCGAACAATCGTTGCCCAAACAAACTCATCAGGAGAAAACGTATCCTTCGACCACTCGATCAGTTTGTGCACTTCTTCGCTTTCCAGCGTCCATTGAACGAACTCTCGTGTCATCAGAAAATACGCAGACCCCGAAAAAATTTCAATGCGCCCAGGCGGCGGGGACTTATCTCTTCCTGTTATAACCGGAATAAATTTGTATTCTCTGTAATCAGCTTGAGTTAAGTCTGATGGTCCAACTTTCCATTCTTTCTCGAAGCGCTCTTTCTTCTTTTCGGAAGGCTTGTAGCTGGTGATTGCGTTTTTGGGGTAGAAGGATTTGAGATAGTTGACGATTTCGGAGTTGCTTTTCAACGGAAAATCCTCTCAATAGAAGGGCTTGGAAATTTATAAAGCTACTATCTTTTTCTGACTTTCGAAAGCCTTGCCCGCAGACATTTATCAAATATCTCCACTGTATCTCGTGCTGTTTAAAAGTTAGCCATTCGTTATAAGACCTCAAAAAAAACAGGGTCCTGATTCTTCTTTATCGGATCCTTACAGGTCCTTTGAGCTCGATTAACTGGCTCACCTTCCTGAATAAGATCTCCCATGCAATTTATATCGGCTTGAAATCGCTCATATGATCCCCAGTGTACATTCTCTCGCTTCTTCGTTAGAAAAACATTCGGAAAACAGCTGGCAAGGGCTTCGAAATCGTCAACTTCCATTTGCGGCGTTTTCGCATCGATATGAAGACAGTAGACATTGTGAGGAGAGTAGATTGCTCGGAGAAGTCGTTCCGCTTGACCAGGGTTTTTATGGAGCACCATTGAGTAAGCGAGGGGAAAGTCAGAATTAGCATCTGAGGTCGGGTACTCCCGGAGCTTGACGAATTCGGGGCAGCTTCCAGAATGGACGAGGTATGCGATTTCGCCGTCTCCCAGACTTAGCGATTCAACTTTCTTCGCCGATTTTCGTCGTTCAACTCTTTCAAGCTCGGCTCGATCTTCCTTATGAAGATTTTAAAATGAAGAAACATTCAACTGTTATTACCTGAATAACCGCTTCGCAATTTAAATCAAATTTTTCAGCAATAGCTTCGTTTTCTCTTTTCACCGGTTCTTTTTGCAAAAGAAAGCCCCCAATAAATAACAAAATCACGAAGTAAGCGTATCGAAAATAAATTTTCTTCAGACGGTTGTGCTGCATTTTCTTTTTTATCTGGTAATTCAATCGATGTCAAAGAATCTTTTTTTGAAAGAACCTATCTAGAAAAACAAAGATTTACTTTGCAGAAGAAACTCGAAAAGCATCGTCAATAAGTGGATTTCGTTTTTGAAGATTCAAGCTACCTTACCAAGCGACCGGTACGACAAATGTATTCAAACTTCCCCTCAGAGGGGAGCTTGATGTCCTCACTCTTGCTCTTGGCCGTATGCAAACTTTCATCGAACCGCTTTTATCATTAGACTGAAATTGTATACAGAATGAACAATTTATTTTCAAAAGCTCTTTTCATAACTAGACAGACTCATTTACGTCAGGAATTTCTTTGTATGGAATCCATGCAGCAGGCCTGTAATTGTCACCAGCTATCTTCGGTATTCTGAGAAGATGAATTCAATAACCCGTATTCGAGCAATTAATCAGTTAACTAACCTGCTCCAAGAAAACATCATCAAAAGGCCAGTAGCTCGTTTTGTCTCTTCGTCAACAGACTCTTCCTCTGAGGAACCCCTTATCATCATTTTAAGCAGATATAATTCAAAGATAGAGTCACCTTTCTAAGTCATCATCTGAGTCGTTGTTGTTTGCACCTTCTGTCTTTGAAATCGCAGTCGCCAAGTTCACCATTGGAATTCCGTCAGGCGAAATCGGTATTTTCAAGTTTCCAACAATCAGGTACTGACATTTTCCCTGTAATCTGTCTCGAATCGCCAGCTTGTGATGAGTACAGATCCGATGAACTCCGACCTATCAAATCAAAAAGTTTCGACGTGAAAATCATTACCTTCTTATTCCATTTATTTCGCAGCCCGCACATGCAGTAAAAATCGTTTCCTTGAGCAGTGCCAGATCGCCAGTGCGGATTGTCTTTGAACGGAGATTTTTTGTGGCAAAGTTCGCACAGGATAATCTTGCTGCATGCTTTTGATTTCAACTCGTTTCTGAGACAAAGTCATTTTTGGGTTGAATAAAAGAAAAACTAATCGACCTCAATGAGGCTTTTTGATCGTCTTAACCAACAAAAAGTCCTCTTTTTGAACTTCAGTAATAAATGATAAAACTGCCTACTGTATAAAGTCAGTAGACAAGAGACAGTAGACAAAGACTGATGACTCTACTATCACGAAATGAAAGCCTTTAAATTATGGGCTACCTTAAAATTCTAGTGCTAAATGTTAGGCTTAGAGTTAAGGACTCTTACAGTAGGGGCCTTGCTAAAGATTTTGTTCATTTTTCATGAATCAACTTACGTTTCAAAAACATATATCGTATCTCCATTTTTAATCGCATCTTTACAAATCGTAGTCGTAATCTTCGGCTTCTTTTTCCTTCTCAAGTAGCATGACAGTACAAAAATGCCCGCACAGAACGTCAGCAGCCCAATCTGGAAAGCAATTTCAAAGGACCAAAAATTTATCTCTCTCATTTTTTCTTTACTCTTTTTGGCAGTGAAACAACTTACCAAAATAACTAAGGACATCTTGATAAGCTTCTTTCTTCTCTCTGTGATTTTGTCTCTGTTGAAGCAGGTTCAAAAGCTGCCCCGTGGTAACGACGTTTAATCCCACTTTTAGGGAAAGAGCATAAGACTCCCTTTGGGGAGGAATGGGCCTTTACAAATCTGAAAGTGAATCAAACATAAACAAGACTCAAAAGGTGTCAAATCAGTGGATCTTTGACAGATCCCAACTTTGGAATATGAACCCATAACTCAAGTCAATCAAAAGCGCGCGGAGAAAATTCCTCTTTCGTAGCTCATACTTCTGAAATCGAAGAATAGTTCTGTCAGCCTCTCAGACTGTAGCTGATCAAGTCGAAATGTGTCGAAGATGGAACGTGTCGTTCTAAATTCTTGCTCTTAAATTCTGTCAACAGGTGCGGCTGTAAAGTCTGAATATACTGTTTTTCCTTGGAAAAATGGTCTTTAACTATTGACCTCGAAAATATAAAGTACTAAGGCACGTATCACAGATAAATCTAAGAAAAATTTCTTTTTAAAGAAAAAGCTGGGTTACATTTGGTCTACCTCAATCACACGTCCTCTTCCTTGATTCCCAGTACTTCCGCGGTTTTTCGCCCGTAATCAAGTCTCAAAAGCATCAACTCAAAACGAAACCACCTGTCATCAACACCTTCTCTTATTTATGCGCTGTAAGTGGACTCACACTGGGCCAGCTCAAAGGATGCGTTTTAGCAAGTCTCGGGATCGATGGATAATTGGAGAAGACATAGAAACGATACATCAGATTAGCGCAGAATAGGCTCTTTTTGAAACGTCTTCAGTCAGACTTATTTTAACAGGGAAACAATTTATTGTATCAAAAGCAAAATCGAAAGATATGAAACAAAAAAGGCAGATTTTTTAAAGACGAGATGGTTTCTTGCTCTTTCTGATCGCGTTTGGAGCTTTTCCCTTGTTTGGCTTTTTCTTCGTCATCTTATTCTTCTTCTTTGGCGATTCGCTGTTCTGAGTCTTTTGAGGGCTGGCGGAAGATTCTCGAGGTTTTCCGAAGATTTTTTCCTTCTGTTCGTCTGACAGTGGCTTGGACGGCTTGAGGGAGCCTTTCTTGACGGTCTTCTGTTTTCGACTCTTATCTTGTGCTGAGGAAGAATGAGCAGTGTTGGTCTTCGAAGACGGTAGAGAGACTGAAACCCACTCACTTCGAGGGAGCATCTTCATTTTTTCCGCTGTTGCTTTTTCAACCGTCATTTTGACCGGGCCTCTGGTTCGGCTCATCACCATTTTGCAAGCATTTGCTGTTCCCAAAGACTTGGAAAGAAGGGCAAGTTCGTAAAAGTTCAAGTATCGGATTGAGTCAATCATTATTGAGTTTGTTGATTTCGATGATTTGTATGAATGATTCCTAGAAATCGATTCTGTTTTTATTCCGGAAATGGAGATAGAGAGTATAATTTACGCAGGTGAGCTTAATTAGCGGCTCTAGAATCAGGATCGGGAAATGGTCATCACCTGCGTCGATTGGTTCAAAGCTTTCATTGATGATGATTATCTTTTCAATAGATTTTATGCGCTTTCATCTTCTAAAATCAGGAAATATAGTCAGAATTTGAAAATAAATATAGATAGTCTTCCTTGATATCAAGTTCTTCATTCAAGATATTCAAAATAATCAATTTTTATAGACTTTTTTATGAAACTTATTTTTCTTTTGATCCACTGGATAATTTAATGGGAAGAAATTTAGCTCATGAAAAAAGTGGAATAATAAGTTAATTATCAACCCCGTGAGCGAATCGTGCTGAGTGGGGCGGTTGCTAGAGATCATAGGTTGATTATTTTTTCATCAAGGCGGAATCTCGCGCATTTCGAATTTCTGGAACGAGCAGTCCTAATTTACATAACATCGCTGCGAAAAACATTTGCATATAAAAAAACTGCTCAATGCAAATTTTCAATCTAAAAAGAACGGAAAATCAAAATGCTTCGGGAGATTTTAGAGTGTCGATTTTTTTCGGTAATCCGTCGGAAAAGCCTCTTTCCTCGGCTGCTTCTCACGCCTTCCGTTGTAACGTTCACGGGATCGTTGTATATTTCGCGGTTTTGTGAAGCTTCTTACTCGGACGGCTTTGGCAGTTTATGGCATCTCAGCTGAATCAAAATTCAGATCCGTCAAAGCTCCCATTGAACCTTCTTCACGTCTAGCTCTAAACAGTAGAGGCGTAACTTTTGATGCCAACTTTCAAATTTTGCGGACAGGCGAAAATGTTCTTTCCTTTTTCCCATGACCCAGCAGATTCAGGTTCGTCCAAAAATATTTTTTTCTTTTATCAAAACTGTTAATTTACAGTAAAAAATTGTTAAAAACCCAATTTCAAACTGCTATGGACTGGGCAACCTGTGTAGAAAACCTGTGTAGAAAACCTGACTCAGGGTCCTGCTATTTGGTTAGTCTAAAAAGTCTAAGAAACATTCGAAGTTCACGAAAAGTCTCAAAATAGCGGACCGTTATTTCGCAAGTATATTTTTGCTTTATTCCATTCAAGTCTTTCTGAAAATAGACTTCTATTTAAAATCGATGTTTTTCGCGATAAAAGACTGAAAATTAAAAGGAACCTGTCGCCTGTTCAAAATTAGAACTGAACAAAAATGTGAACGACACTTTTAGACTCGGCCGCAATTATATGTGCACAGCGATATCGCGAACATACTAAACCGGATGGGCAACCGCCCAGCACTCGATCAGACACTCTCAGAAACAACAAAACTTACATCAATAAAACCGTATCGCTTTCGTTTATGTAGTGCAAATATACAAAAAATAAGCTTGTTAAAAACCTTGATCGTTAAATAAAACAGTACCGAAGTAAAAAAATGGGGCGGGTTCTCGCCACAGTGGAGTATTGAATTCGAGAGCGGCGACCGCGTTCAGGGCTGGTTCATAAGCTTTGAAGGGATTTGCTAAAAAGGTGAAATAATCCGGCCCCTCGTGATTTCCTGAAATAAAATCAAGAAAGAACCTGACGTGAAAGGGATTACTAGATAATGATGAAATCGAATAGCACAGCAGGGGTCAACTGATTACTAAGCTCGTAATGAGGGTTAACGAGCTGATAGAAAAATGCTCGGAAAAGTTCTATTTTTCTATTTTTGCTGGAGTAGAAATATATTTCGAATACACTTCTTTTTCCGTCGAAGGCTTAATCCGCGGCCAGGATTAGCGCTGAAGTTACAAGCGCCTGCCAGCCATACAGACTTTTTGTCATGCGCAGAATGAATAAATCGCGGCAGTTCCAATTTAGCTTTTGAGCTTTACTAAGGACCATTTCTCCCGTAAAATTAAACTACTAGCTATTAATTCGATTTTGACCTTAACGACTTTGAGGCCCTTAATTTTCTAAGCTTCAGATTCAAAACAGTTGGGAATTTCGCGTGAGCTCCATTTGGTCTATTTCGTTAATTACTGAAAATATTGTTAATGACGATCAAAGAGGTACGGGCAAGAGATACTTGTATAACGGGAGCTGGAAAGATGTGTGATTCAATTTGAAACCGCTGGACGACGCACACGTTTTGAATTTTGCTTTTTCGAATGGACATTCTTCTCGAAGCACACATTTGATTAGTGTGGGGTTAAACGTATCGCCACCTTGGGAAGTATTAGAACATCGATTTTTAACTTGATTT